AGCCGCAGTGAGAAGACGAGATTGATAGAAAGAAATTATCAAACCCCTAATTTATCAACCCCTAAAGTATCAAACTAATTAGCAAACTAATTAACCCGTAAATTAGCCGAATTGGGTAGAAAATTACTTGCGATGAGAAGAAGGGATTCTTCAAGTTCTTCGCCCCTGGACTCCTGCTTTCTTAGTCTATTTTTGTTTCCAATATAGATGGTTTGGATCATTGAAATTCAATATGGAGTGAGTCCTACAACTAATCTCCATTTGTTTTTTTTCAAAAAATGGGAATCTTTTTACATAAAGAGCCTATATATATCTCTCTGATAATTAGGAACAGGATAAGCATGTTTAATTTCTTTTTAGGTCAGAAAAATACATGAGTTTTTCATGTCAAAACAAGAAACTAAAAGATGGGTTTTGAAGTTTGATAGAGGCATAACAAAGATAAATCGAAGCAATAAATCACAAAACCCATATGGAAGAAGAATAGTGAAAAACAAAGACCCATCTCTGAAACAATTGAATTGAGAGACAGATTCAAAGGCAAAGACAGAGCTAGCCGAGGTCTCCTTCAATCTGTTGTACTAACCAAATCCAAGAACCCTAAACCAACTCCTGTTGTAGAAGAGAGAGGGGACGGCTGGGTTCTTCCACTTTCCAACCTTGACCCTTTCCAAATCTCATTGGGAATTGGGGCCTCTTTGGTGGACTGGTTAGGATAGGTTATGACCAATTAAGATAGACTTGAGTCAATTTCCTTATTTGTTGTGTGACAGGACTGGACATGATAAGTTATAAATTCACAATAGAGTAGGTTATCTAAACTATTCTTATACATAAGTTACAGGTCTTGTCTTACAAGTTTATGTCAATCCAATCTTATCCTTAAGGCTCAATCCCTTCTAGCCCACCAAACCCGTCCTTATGGCCTTCATATCTGGTTTAGTAGTAAATTTGGGGAAGGCAAGGAAAATTTGGGTTGAGGATGTTGTTTCTAGGTAAAAAGGGTAACTACAATAATTTTTTTATTAGCACTCCACATAACGTTGAATACACTATACATTAAAATTTAATATTAAATGACTTATACCCTACTGTGCAATGACAATTTCGATCTTATAAGGTTAAAAAAATATTATTTCTAAATAGACCCCAAATCACTTTTAACGCATTATTTATCTTGTTCAATTCTCCAAACCCCTCTCACCCTCTATTGTAGAATAAAATTCTAACCAATGAAACTAACAGGTTGGTTGAGAAAAAAATATTTTTTACGAATGGAACATGAAATCAACGTTTCAGAAACTTCACATGAGATAAGACTTCATATTTTTTTATTTTTTTAGTGATTTCAACGACATCTCCCTATACAAAATGAGAGATTAGTCTTTCGATAGAGAGAATTTAGGGTAGGATCAGATTCGTTTGATGAAAGATAAAGCTTTAAGTAATCCGAATTTGTGAATTACTATACTGCAAGGTGTAAAAGTATTGCTACGTATACAAATTAAGTACCTGCGGCTTGCCTATAGCAGGTTTGTAGGAGGCCTTTATTGTGATTCTCATATACCTGCATGCGATTCCCAGGAAACAATAATATTTTGTTTGTGTGTTTAAGGTCTTAGAAGGAATTTAAGGTTGCATGTCATATCATTCTAAGTGCCAGCAGTCATGGTTTGTATCCGCACAATGGTCATGCAGAACCCCTCTCAACAATGTCAAGAGAAAATAATCAGCATAAGACATTTGTGATTATTTTTCTGCTTCTTTTCCCATTTTATTGGGTTTTCTCGTGCGTTCCACATTTGCTATTTTAAGATGTGAAGGATGCGAAGGATGTGAGGTTTATGTAGAAAATATAAGATGTATGTTGGGAATGTGGGGGTGTGAGAGTATTATGAAAAAATATATAGAGTGTATTAAGATAACTTTTAATTATAAAAATAAATGTGGAGTGTATTAAATATGTGGAGTGTATTTAACAATATGGGATGCTAATATAATAAGTCTAACTACAATTAGGAGTGGGATTTTTTCCCTCTCCCCCCTTCCATCCCCTCCTACATAAACGTTTATGATTACCACTTAATACTATGGTCTAGTAGTATTTCTTTTCATTTATAAGTGAGTTATCTTAGGTTCGATTCTTTCTAAAAATGAATTTGAACTACATTACTACAAGCTCATTGTGAGGCTAAGTTCACCAATTTTCCTTTAGTATATATAATATCGTTTATTAAAAAAAAAAGAACATTTACGATTATGTCACGTTAACATCTTGTTTTGATTTTTCTATAGAAAATAAAAGACAAACAAGAAGAGTGTGAGATGAGAGAGGGAAGGAGATGGTAATACAATTAAGAGTAGACAACAATTTAGAGAAAGTTTTCAATGTGACTGAAATACACACCTCAGCATGACAGGTGTTATTCCTCACCAATAACCTATAGACTAATGTATTCTTAGCATAACAATTTAATACATTTAAATTCGAGCTTTGAAAAACACCCAGAGGCACAGTTTCCTTGAAAATGCATAAACTCTTCCACCTAAATCACTAAAAACAACAAAACCCGGAAGAAAAAAAGAAAAAAAAAATATTAACTCTGCATGCCCCACAAAACCCAGAAACCAAAAAGAGGAAATCCCAAAAAAAAAAAAGGAAAAAATGCTAATTAAAATCCAAGAGATAAAGGGGAGGAGGTAGAGAAGGACCAGATTTGAAGGGTTTATGGGGAGAAGAACATACAGAATGATCTAAAAAATGGCTTTTTAAAAAAAATATTACAAATTTATTTTCATAATTTTAAATGTTTTCTGGGTTTTGATTTTCTGACCTTCCACATTGGATTTAGCTCTGAAATCTTTTGTTTGAGCTCGCTCATGTGCGGCTCACAGTGTACGGAGGTCCAGAAGAGGGTGGGGGAGGGAGGAGATAGACGGCAAACCCAAAGGTGAAGAGATGGAGCGTCCCGGGTGAAATCACAGGCGACGATGGAGGTGGGTGGTTTAAGATTTTGCCATCATTGACCTCCATTTATGATTTTGCAATTGGGGAGAGAAAAGTCAGGAGGAGATGGGGGCGTCTTGGGATTGGGACTAGAAAGCAAGTCTTGGGAGCAGTCCAGGTCTTTGTTTATTTTGATTTTTTTTAATAAAATTTAAATGTATTAAATTGTTATTCTATAAAGATACAGATGTTTATAGGTTATTTGTAAGGAGCACCACCTATCATGGTGAAGTGTATGTTTCAGTCACATAGAAAATTTTTTCGATGGGTTGGACTTTATTCACAAAACTAGAGAGTTAGTAATGTTTTTTTTTTATCACAAAAAAGAGAGTTAATAATGTTAAAAAAGGGATTAAGCTCGTGTTTTAGAGCAAGTAACCATAATTCCTCCTGAGTAAATTGGTATGAAGTTGATTAATTTTTTATAAATAGGGAGAACGAAAATATGGAGGACTTACATGGGTACGGCATTCTGTGTTAATGAATAAAAATTTGTACATAATTTTTTATGTCTCTTGTTTTATTGGCACGGAACGTCATATAATGTACTAAATAAGTTTTCTCAATAATATGCCATGAAATTTTAAGGGCCTTGCCGGGAATTGAGTAGATATTTTATGCTTAATCTAACCAAGTTTCTCTAGAGCGTTGAAAAAGTTCTACAATGGTTACTTTGCTCTGTTTTTTTGTTCTCATCCATTCTGCTACCATTTACTTGAAATTTTGGTAATGCCAATTTATGACTTGTTTAATAATCATTTCGTTTTTTTTCATTTTGAGTTTTCACATTTTGAGAACTTAAAAACTTGTTTGGCTTAAACAAAAAAGTAAAGGCAAATTCTGAAAACTGAAGAAAATAGTTCTTAATTTTTATTTTCAATGAAAAATAAAAAATAAAAATAGTTATCCAACAAGATTTTAATTTTCAGTTCTAAATAAAAATTGAAGTTAAAAACGATATGATCATCAATAATCTTTTATCTCCTTGTTGATAAACTTGGATGCGAATGAGAGATTTCACAATGCCATTATCTTCACAGATGAATAGGCAAGGTGTTGTTGCTCAGCTTATGTTACTGTTTATTATAGGTGTAGAAAGAAAGACAATATCTTAGGTTTCAACTAGCATGCTTTTTAGGGTGCATTTGTTGCATTGGATTATTTCGAATTGTATTAACTTCAGAGACTAAGCTGAATTAGCTTCGCATGAACTAAGTAGTATAAGAATAATGAAGTGTTTAGTATATTATCGAACTATGTGATGGACAAACTTATTTTCATAACTTAAATATTTTTTTTGTTAGTTTTTAATCATCTTATTAATAATTTGTTATTTTGACCCAAATATTTCCACTTCATTCAACCCCTTTCGGGCTTTTGCCAACGCCATTATCGGAACTTAATGGAATTTAACAAAATTAATGTCTCTCTAAACCGTGCACAGGAGAAGGACATAGACATGAAATGACGTATAAATTTTTTTTACAAGTAATGATAGCGAGACCATCTGTTTAAACTAAATTATGCAAACCATATAACATTATTGCTAATTATTAGATTATTACTTTAAGTGTTGATAAACATACTTATTTTCTTTTGGTAACACATCACATGATTTGCAAATTCACTATAAAAAGTTGGCCTACCTAACATTACTTTTGTTGCCACTTATTACTACTGTCTAATAATATTCCTCTTCACTTATAAGTGAAAGGTCTTATGTTCGATTCTCGTCAAAGACGAATTTGAAACTCATTATTGCTAGCCCATTGTGAGGCTAAACTCAACGTCTTTCCTTTAATGTAGAGAATATCGTTTGTTCAGAAATACATTACTTTTGTTTTCTATGATATTGTATTATTACAACCTAATCTCAAATCTCCACTAGCCTTGAATTTCAAGGTTTCATACTTGAATGGAGCGTCTAAGAGCATCTACAAAAAAGATGTTAAAATGTTCATATAAGTTAGTAAAAAAAATAAAAAATAAAAAATGATCACGCTAATTATTAATGATCTTTTATTAATTATTATTGGTTCAATCATTATTATAATTAATGTTGTTGTTCACCATTGCATTTGTTTATATCCTGCCTCTTTAGTGTTTTCAATCAAGCTAAGGTGAAGAGTCTTCTTTTGTTAAAAAATTGTCAAAATCACACTTAGCCTGTAAAATTTAAATCTGTTCAAAATTTGACACCTTTTTAATTGCTATAATTGCCTTAATCCCTAGATTTATCCAATCATACCTCAAACCAAAACCAAGTGACAAGTCCCAAAGCAAACCGTATCGCCTACAAGTCCGGCACCACCGAACCACCGATTGCGCCGGATAAGGACTCTCACCACTACCAAGTCCCCTTCCCCCGTGGAAACATTCAACCAAATGCAGAGAGTTGCCCTCCCCCAAATATGCCGCTCTCAAAATTGTTGCAGATTCATCTAAGCTCCTACACTTTCGATCAAACCCAAAAATCCCATTGAGTTAAACATAATTACCTAGCTAATCAAATCACCTACATTACGCGCCAATTTTACCAAAATGTCACAATTCGACCCCTACACCCACCTCCACATAGTACACGACCCCGCCACCGACACCCTTACCCGCCCCGCCTCCACCATTATACCCGCCAACCCGGACCCCGCCCCAGGCGACCCGGTCGTCTCTAAAGACGTGACACTCAACACGGAAACCAAAACCTGGATCCGGATCTTCCGACCCGCCAAGCTTCCCTCCAATGACAACACCGTGGCCCGCCTCCCCCTCATCATCTATTTCCACCACGGCGCCTGGATATTCCTCTCCGCCGCCGACTCCACCGCGCACACCAATTGCTCTCAGATCACCTCCGAAATTCCCGCCATCATCGTCTCCGTCAACTACCGCCTGGCGCCCGAAACCCGGCTCCCGGGCCAGTACCATGACGCCATCGACGCAATCAACTGGGTCAGGGCCCAGGCCCAGGACCCGAAAGGCGAGACCTGGATCCGAGACTACGCCGACGTATCCAGGTGCTATCTGTACGGTTGCGGATGCGGGGGCAACATCGTCTTTTTGTTAGGATTAAAAGCGTGCCAGCTCCAGCTAGAGCCGTTGAAGATCTCGGGGATTATTATGAACCAGCCGATGTTCGGTGGGGTCCAGCGGACTAAGTCTGAGCTGCGATTGGCTGTGGACCAGCTTTTGCCTTTACCTGCGCTCGACCTCATGTGGGACCTCGCGTTGCCGAAATCAACAGACAGGAACCATCGGTACTGTAATCCGATGGCGGATGGGGCCCACAAGGCGATGATCAAAGGGCTGGGGCGGTTTTTGGTGATTGGGTTCGGTGGGGACCCGATGATAGACCGGCAGCAGGAGTTTGTGACGATGCTGGTGGGTTGTGGGGTCAGGGTTGATGCGCGGTTCGATGACGTGGGGTTCCATAATATTGACTTTGTTGACGCCAGGCGGGCTGCTGCCGTTTTGAACATTGTTAAGGAGTTTATCATCTAATTTTTTATATAAATGTATGATTAAGAGTGTAAATTTCGGCTTTGTTCGTTCTTTATTTTTATTGTTTTGCAGAATAGTTGTTGAAGATTTTGTACTGCTTTGTTATACCAAAATATCGAATAGCCGACCCAAATCCCAAACCGGCGATTGATATATTTGGGTCGGTTGAAGAGACATTCAGGCGGTTTGCTCCAACTTGGCAACTTCTCTCCCACTACTACAAAAGTGGCTTATTGTGTCAGTAGATTGTGTCGGTTTTATATAAAATACTGGCGAATAAGGCATTTTCGACACCATCCTTACATAGTGTCAGAATTACTGTCGGATATAAGCGACATAAACTGTCCATGTTGCTTATAGCCAATATAGATTTTAATATTTTTAAATGGTGATGTCGTATAAAAAGAAAACCGTATCGCTTTCAACCGACATAAAGTTAGTGTCGGTAAAAACGAAACTCATGTCGCTTCTACCCGACACTAATAAATATTTTTTAAATATTTTAAAACTTCCTGTCGGTTGTAGCCGACAGGTTGGTGTTTCTATTTTTTTTAAATACTTACCTCACATGATAAAATTTTGGACGAGATATTTCCCCCCATATTTTTAAACTAAAAAGACGATGTCAGTCTCCCTCTTTAAAGAGGCTTCACCTCGAGCCCAGAGGCTTACCTCCCTCATTTATCTCTCCCTTCTTCCAAGCACACCCTACAACTGCAGCTCCTTTCTCCACATTTTCTCAAACCTTAATCTTCCATCATCAACCCATAAGACCTCGCTGCCATGGAATTACTGCATCACCAAAAGAGTAGCAGCACCGATCTTGGTGCGGACGCACTCAGAGGTAAACTTCTCACCTTCCCTTGCCGATTCATGCACTCAGGTTCACGGATTGAAATATACCATACAAGAAAGAAATCTTCAACTCCCCATGCTTGTGTTGTTTCTTTTGCAAGGACCTGAGATATGTTAAAAAAAAAAAAAAAAAAAAAAAAAAAAAACGATGCAACCACTGGTATAGCCCCAAATCACATCTCAAGGAAAAATCACCACGGAGTTGTCTCCATTCTATATCCGTCATTTAAAGTTATAACAACAAAATCTATTCTAATTGGATGATTTGGTGGTGAAAAGGTAGGAAGAATAAGTGGAACTCTTGATGTATTTACAACCTTCCACATAGCTATTAATATTGCATGCTAAGCAGTCTAATGCATAACTCACTAAAGCTATAATCTCCGCTCAGCTCCTCTTTTATGTTCTTGTTCAGTAAGATCAGCAGTTCGAAAATCCATATAAAAATTTGTGCATGTTCATTTTGGATCTGAAGAGTAAGGACACTGGAAATCGCACATCCATAATTTTTGAAAGGTATAAAACATGAGTTTAATCTATAGAGATTAGAGCCCTAATGTTGAAGTAGTAAAGTATTGGAGCACTGATCTGATGGCAAGCATGGCAACATGGAGCTGCTAGTATTATATATGGCAGCATGAAGCTACAGAATATGGCAACATGGAGCTACAAAATATGTGGTCTTCAAAGGCAAGCACGGGAAAGCATCATGGCAGCTGCTAGTATTATATGCAAGCATGGAGCTGATTAGTATTATATGTAATTGTTATTTTTTTTATCTTCATCTTGTAACCGGTTCTCTAATAGCTCCTATATATGTGTTATTTGTACTTCCTTATTTATATGAAATAGAATACATTTTAAAAAGAAATTCTACACCCAAAGACCCCAGTTGAATTCTTGAATAAATTGAATCTGTGAAGTTTGCATCTCATGTACCATCTGTGTAGGAATGCATGATAATTATTTTATTTATCGAGATGTTGGGCAGTGTCGGTTAGGACCGACAATAGATTGAGTATTTTATTTGTTAGCTACTACGTGACGTCGGTTATGACTGCCATCATGTCAGAATTTATTTTATATTACTTTACTTCTTGGTGGCGGATTAAGGGGACTAATCGATGTCAATACCCTTTTTGTGACGCTAACAATGGTGTCGGTTCCCCTATCCGACATTGCACGACTTGATGTTGGATTTTTACCTTAAATCCGACACTAATTAGTTTTTCTTGTCGGTTTTCACACTGCCAGCAATAGTCACTTTTTAGTAGTGTCTTTATACACATCATGACCACCGTGAAACACCACCACTTCGAAGCTGAGACCCAAACACCGACACTTATTTCAACAACTCTCTGCGTGTTTTTGTCCATCTCGTGCCGCATCATAAGACTATTGTTGTTGTTGTTGTTGTTGTATGTAACTTGTGAATAGTGGAGAATAGTTGATGATCGATGTAGACAATCAATTGCATGGTAGTCAATGTCCATTGAAAGTTGTATATAGGATGACACATATCGCAAGTTGTATAAGATGATCATAACTTCACAAGTGACAATGGTTATAACATTAAGTTATAGTGAGTGAGGTGTGTAGAGGAGCGTTTGAACATTTTTTCCTTTTTTTTATTTTTTTTAAGGAGATAACTAATGGTGAATCATGGTTATCCGCCCCTTTCGGGTCTAGAGGAAGCTAGTTGGGAATTTCACCCAACCCGTGGCCACGATCAAGCATATTTACTGTTTAAAAAGTATCATACCCTTTGGAAAAAAAAAAGAATCGAACCCAAACTTCCTTTTTTTTTCCTTTAGAAAGATGTTGTTCGCACTTTTCCACTGGTCACTTGTTGTGGTTGTGCATTTGAACAATTGGAGGATAGAAAGGTCTTTAGCACTGTGGTTGATGAGGTGCTCAAGTACATGTCAAAAGGGCTTATATAAGCCATTGAACACTTTTGGGGTGTTTCAAAAGAAGTAGGATTCTTTCCCCTCATATTCTCATCCCCTTCCCTCCTCTCCTCTCCTCTCACACTTTGTTTTTGGTCTTATTGTCTCTATAAAAAAAATATATATAAGATGTTGACGTAGTTTAATTGTAATCGTTCAAGCAAGAGGGAAGGGAAGGGGAAAGAGTTTGGATGGATCTTGTGTAATCCTTTGTAATCGAGGTAAATCTGTTTGTAATTATTCTCTCCTAATTGGGATAGGACTAGGTTACATATTATACCTCACTTTGTGATGAACAAAATACAATTCTAATTATTCTCTTCTTGGTACTAGAGCCAGTCGTAAAAAATAATTAAAAAAAAAAAAAAACCTAGCAATGTGCGGTCCAACCGTGGTTGATAATACTCTTTTTTTATCAGCAAGCGACTATCATCATTATTGCCTCTTGACCAGCGAGAGCCGTAGTTGTTGTTGTCTTTCTCTGAATTTGAAAGGATCACTAAGCAACAATTGTTGTTGCTATCCATTTTTTTGAATCCAATCTTAATCAGCCACCTAGACTTCCATTCCTTGCTCTGCAGAACCTCACCGACAGCAGCAAGTCCCTTCCTTACAGTGCAAAATCCCACAAACAATAGTAGTTTTCATCCTGCCTTTGCACGATATCACTGTCACTTAGTGGCGAAGCCAGATATTGTCGAGGGGAAAGGCAAAATTTAAAAAGGTAAAAGGTCCAAAAAAAATTAGGCATTAAAATCCGTTTAGATAATAGACAATCATATTACACACTACATGTAATTGCCTACAAATTCATTGGTAAACTAAAATCCACTAAAATCCATTGCCAAACTGTATAATAGAAACTGTTGGCCCTCTTTTGTAAGTAGCATTTCATTGTACATCTTTCATTAACTAATCAAATTGTAAAGTAATCGTATATTTATCCACCTCCAAGAGTTCGCCCTTCTGTAGCTTCACCACTGCTACCAACAATAATTCTCATTCATGGCTGGTAACGCTGAGGTGAAGTCAGTTTCTCCTGTTGTGATGCAATCTGCAAATCAGACAACTCGAATTTGAACATTTGTATGTTTCTTGATGAGATGAATTATGATTTGTGGGCTCCTCTCATCCAAAATCATATTGTGGAAGGAAACAAATGGATTATCTTCGTGTGTCTATCAAGGCTCCAGAAGAGGACGACCCCAAGTACGATGATTGGCTCTCTGAAGATCAAAAAATAAAGAGTTGGTTACTGTCATCCATGAAACCGGAGATTATGAAATGATATATTTGTTTACCCATTGCAAAAGGAATTTAGGATTCGTTGAAGATACCCTCAGCTAGAAGGTGTCACGCCTTCGCCAGAACGGCCGCTCCTTAGCTACCTACTTTGGAGAATTGATGGAAATCTTCCAGGAATTGGAGCACTTTAATAAAGTGGCTATGGAGTGTGCCAACGACATCAAAGTTTACAAGAATATTAAACCTAGCTCTGATACCATTAATAGAAAACAGGGATACAAAAAAGGGCGTAGGAATGAGAAGGTCTTGCTACATGCCAATATTTCTGTTATTGAACCCCATTATCGCTCTTCTAGTCCCTTTGGAACTCCCCTTCCTTTAGAGGATGTTATGGCGGTGTTAAATCCGTTTAAAGTCCTTGAATTTTTGGAGATTGTCTTTGACTCTGATATTCAAGCCATTGCCTATTCAATATATCTCGTTGGCCTAACTGTATTTTGGGTAAGGATATTGATGCTCTCCCATCCTAGAGATTTCACCATAAGAAGAAGAAAAGGAAGAATAATAGAAGTAAAGGCACATCTAAGGTTGGTGGTAAGGGTTGTAGTGCCTATGATCGATCTCATTCAAACTCAAATGATTAATCTCACTTGTTGGAATATTAGGATGCTTAATGGGCTTCATAAGCAACTCAAGGTTCATAATTTCATCGATATGAATAAGCTTTATTTGGTTGTTATGGTTGAGACTAAAGTACGTGTGAATAATATTGATGTTGTTACTCAATTTGTCTTTCGTAATAGAAGAATATTGGTGGGTTAGAATCCTACCATTCTTCATGTTTCTTACTTGGTGGAGATTGATCAAGTTATCCATTACCAGATTTAAATTCTTCTAATGGGGCAAAGTTTTTGTGATTCCTTTGCTACGACTTCAATGATGAAAATCTTTGCAGGGCTTTTTGGCCTAACCTTTGCTCTTATAGGCACTCCATTGGTGATGCCCCTTGGATTGTCCTTGGTGGCTTCAATGTTGTTTGATCCACTGGAGAAATTGATAGGGGATCTAATTTGAGGTCTAATGTTATTATTGGGTTTAGGGATTGTTTACTTGATGTTGACCTTGATGATTTAAGATTCCCTAGTCAACTCCTTACTTGGTGCAATAAGCAATTCAATGGCATGGTTATCTATCACAAGTTGAATCGCGTCCTTGTCAACATCGGTTGTTCATATATGTTTCCCAATAACTTTGCTGTTTTTTTGCCTCCTAGTGCCTCTAATCACTACCCAGTGGTGGTTTCTCAAACTCAAAGAAATTCACCTTTTAAATTCTTCAATTTCTATGCACCATGATAATTTTTTAGTTATTGTTGCAAAAGCTTTTATACCCATATCCAAGGTTGCCATCAATTCCAGGTAGGAAAGAAGCTAAAGCTTGTTAAGGCTGAGTTGAAAAAGCTAAGGCTTGTTAAGGCTGAGTTGGAAAATTATTCAAAATTTATCAAAAAACAAGAAGAGGTTTAGCCACTACTGTGGAATTCGGCCCCATGGTCTTATTTCAACTAAAAAATAAGTCTATGTCTAAGATTCTAATCTTCCATAAGTGTGATAGCATCTTGAAAGTCAGAAACCTTCATCTTTGTACTCTTAGGATCGTCCACTTGCACAAAGTTTGATTCAAACATCTTACGACGAGAATGATATTCAGCTACAACCCCTCATCTCTGCAAACATGGGACCAATGGTCATTTGAACCACAATGATAACACATATCTGCATCCATGGTTTAAGGTGTTTTGCCCTTATTCTTAAAGTTTGGGGCCTTGGGAGCAAGGTTTAGGTGCTTCTAGGCTTTATTTCCCTCCTTGGATAGGCCTTGACTATGTTGACCTTGGTGAGATGGCTTTTGGCCGCCCCTACCACGCCTCTTTGGTGTTTCGAGCTTTGGTTTGTGCTTTAGTGTGCTTTAGGCACAACAATCGCCCTAGTATGTCGAGCTTGATGATTATTCATTAACAACTGGTTCTTCTTTTCAGGGAGAAGTAAAACGATGATCAAATTTGAGAACTTGGTGAACTTTTGAGCTCTATATTGTTGTTGCATGGCAATATTAGTAGCAGAGAAGGTCGAATAGGTCTTCTCCAAAAGATCCTCTTCGGTCAAAGTTTCATTACAAAACTTGAGAAGTGATCGGATTTGACGAACTTCAGAATTATTTTCATTGACAAACTTAAAGACTTGGAAGCACAAATGATGCCAGTCATGTCTTGCTTTAGGCAATAAGATGTCATTTTGGTGATCAAAACGATCAGCCAAAGTGACCCATAGTACTCGTGGATCTTCCTCAGCAAGAAATTCAGTTTGCAAGGCGTCGTGTATATGTTTTCAGATGAAGATCATAGCGGTGGCTTTCTCAACTTCGCCAACAGGGTTCTCCGTCTCATCTTCAATGGCGGGACGCAAATTCTTTGTAGTGAGGTAAAGCTTCACATCTTGGAACCACTTGAGGTAGTTCATTCCAGAGACCTCCAAAGCGGTGAAGTCAAGTTTGTTCAAATTCGACATGTTCCTATCACAAAATAAAGGACAAGATGTGATTAGTGCAATGAAGAACAAAAATCAATCTATTCACATAGGAGTAGAATATTCATGTTCTAATAGACATGTATTGGTTAATATTCACATGAAAAAACTTTAGGTTTTCATGGGTGATGTTTTTAAGTGAAAAATTTCAGGTTTTCAAACAAGGCATATTTTTAGAAGCTTCATGTTTCAAAATAATTATGAACTTCAGGTTCATATGTTTCTACAAATAAACGCAAATATATACACATAAATATGCAACAAGAAAATATGCAAATAGAACTTCAAGTCTAAAATTATAATTGAATAAATTATTTGGACTTCATGCCAAATTAAAAGTGTGGGTGAAAATATAAAACCCATTGAGCCTAAAAATAATTAGGCAATTAAACTCGAGGCCCAAAATAAGGCCTAAGCCCACGGGTGGGCTAAATAAATGGGTGCCATGCATCCTAGGCCCAAAGCTGGGCAAGTTTGGTCTCAAGTGGACTGTAGGCCCAAAGGGAGAGAGGGAAAACGGGTCGGGCTAAAGTATCGGATCGCTTCAGGAGAGTCCAATAAAAAAAACGCGGGCTGATCAGACGGTTTTGGGCCAATATAGGTGAGCCTAAAAAAGGAAAAAAAAAAAAAAGGAGGCCGAGTAACAAAGCCCAAATAGGGCTCGAGTTAGGTCCAAAGACTCCCCAACCACAACTGGGTGCATTTGCCGGGGAAGAAGGTCGACGTTGTCGCTTCAGGTGGCCATGGTTTAGGATAATGATGCTCGGGGAACGTTTGTGGGTCAAGGGAGACCACAAATATGAACGGAGATTTGAAAAATTTCGACGTTCTACCAAAACCTTAGAAATAAGAATCAGAAAATTGGAAAAATTTTGACGAGATTCAAGATAATCTCAGTCAATCGGTGTCGGGGATAAACTGCAGGTCGTCAAAACACGATGATCCATGGGTGAAGATTAGCTGCAGGCCAACCTGCAACGATGAAGGCACCATGGAAGGCGTCGGTGTTTTTGGGTTTCAAACCTGGAGCCCTCGGCTTTGGGTTTAGGACTCGTGGCTCGGCTCAGCCACCCAAGCTGCAAGCTTGAGGTCATGGGTTCGAAGAACCCAAGCCATGTTTTCGATTTCTTTTTGTTTTTTTTTTTCTCCCCCTTTTTTTTCAATTCAATTCAATAATATAATGCATATATATATATATATATATATAAGCAATTCATCACAAATATCAAATTCAAATAATTCAACAATTATGAGTATAATGCATACACAATTTATGTAGAATATAAAATTCGAAAAACGTAAAGTTGGGTCATGCATTATGGTGAATGTTCATGCTATTAGGGTTGCGAAAATATCGAGATAAAAACTGTTGTTTTGAAAGAACCTAATTGCGTGATGATATGGATGAACTGCTTTGATGTAGAAAAATCTTCAACGTCAGATTCTTAAGTGCAGCGATAGAAGCGTGTTGATAACGTGTTGTAGCCTATTTTATCTGATAAGGGGAAGAGGGCAGGCAGCAAGGGTAGAGAGAGAGGAAAGATGTGTTTGTAGAATCATAGGGGAATTATGTATTGAGGATGTTGTTATCCCCCCATACGTAGTGCCTTTATTTATAATAGTAAAAGGAGAGAAGAAATCATTCATCCCCAAGGAATACAAGTCCATATAAGAAAGAATAACTAGAATTAAATCTAATATAGAATTTACACAATCACACTTAAACTAGGAAAGTTCACAACAAGTACTTATATGTTATAAAATGAGTAAATTAATGCCACTTAGTACGGTCTAGTGGTATTTCTCTTCACTTGTAAGTGAGAAGTCTTAGGTTCGATTCTCACCAAAGGCGAATTTGAACCACATTATTGCTAGCCTATTGTGAGGCTAAGTCTACGCCTCCCCCTTAGCATGTAATTTGCTTGAAACGAGAGCATGGGAGTTCGTCATTGTATAATACTTGGCGGCACCCAAGGAATCCTATTTAGGATTAAAGCATTCATTAAGGATAAATAAGTCAATAAATAATAGTTCAATTATGTATTGAAATAAACTCCAAATTGTTAAAAGCTATCATTTTTCTTGGTCTGATCTTATATAAACAAGCCCACATATAGTTATAATTATCAATGAGTACAAAATATGCAAGAAATTAAATATTTGGCGCCTAGGGAATCCTACTTAAGAAATGCAACATTCTTTAAAGATAAACAAGTCAATAACTAATATTTTCTAATTATTTCTCTATTATGTAATAACCTCTCTAAAATTATAAAATTGGTTTGATCCAAACTGTTTTAGTTTAGAGGAGTTATACTGTATTGATAACCCTGGCTCTAGCGAGTAGCGTTTGGGTGATGTTCGACCATTTATTTATGATGACTGTCAAACCATAACGTGTATTTTTCTGCGTCACAAAGTTAGAGTTCATGTTTGGTAACCGGGGAATAGCTAACAAAGTTGGGAGTTCACATTAATACTTAATTAATAATCTAATTATCAACCAAAATTATTTTCAGAATATAATTTAAATAGAAAGACTCGGAGCATTCTCCTTTATTTTAATTTAATCATTGGATATGCCTTATTGTGGTTAAAACTCAATACAAGCGAAAGTAACATCAACCAAAATGGCGTTTTCCAGTAAGCCATGTCAGCTTATTAGCCTTCTCTCTCAAATCGCCGATTTTGAAACGACAATATTATCACCGTCGTATGCATCGCACGACTCCATAAAATCCCTAATAATGTCGTATAGAGCTTGGGCCATGCTAGGGTCGAAGAGCTCCACGCTATGATAACCCCCCTCGTCAAACTTGGCCACCACGTGCGCCCCACGTGACTCAAGTAACGCCGCAAACTCCTTCTGCCTATCCAGCAGCGGGTCCCCACCATACCCTCTAACCAAACACCTCGGCAACCGTTCGATCCTCCCATCCCCACCTCCCGCCGTCGGATTACAATACTCGTGATCCCGATCAACGCCCTTCGGCAAAGCCATTGCCCACAGCAAGTCGGTGGCGACCAGCGGCACTATCCGGTCGTTGATCAACCTCGTCTCGGATTCAGTCCTATGGACCCCGCCGAAATAAGGCTGGTTGAGTATCAGCCCTCGGATCTTCATCGGCAAGAGATCATCACCCGAGAGGCGTAAACCCACGTGGTAGATGATGTTAGCTCCGGCGCTGCTGCCCATTAGGAAGCACCTGGAGAAGTCAACGGCGTCTTTCAACCAGGGATCGCAGCCGTCGACGTCGGAGGCCTGGCGGTGGACCCAGGCGATGGTGTCGACGGCGTCATCGTAGGCTGAAGGAAGAGGGTGTTCGGGAGCCAAGCGGTACTCGACGGAGATAATCAGGGCTTGGAGAGTGAGGGCCATGCGAGAGCAGGAGTCGTGGAATGGTTTGGAGGCGGCGGAGAAGAGGACGAAGCCGCCTCCGTGGAAGTAGATGATGAGAGGGAGGCGGTGGTTTGGGGGGAGAGGGTGGGGTTTGAAGAGCCTGAAGAAGGTTTTTGTTTCTGGGTTTAAGGGAATGTCCTTGGAGAGGACGAGTTGGGGAGAGTTGGAGTCTGACTCGGCGGCCGTGGCGGAAATGGATTCGGTGGGGGTGGGAGTTGGGGAGACGGTGGGGAAAGTGGTCAAGCGGGTGAGGGAGCCATCAGGGTTGGGGACGATTTTGAGGAGTTTGTAGGGGTCAATGGAGGTTGGGGATGAAGAAGGTTGATCCGCCATGGATGTTGTTGAAAGTTGCAGATGAAGTGTTTGTGCAAATGCTTAGCTGAAAAAATAGGGTTTATAAGTTTACATGTGGAAGAAAATGAGTGACGAGTGATGAGGTAATAGTGGGAAAAATGGGTTGGTGTTTGGTGAAGAAAATTAAAGTCAAGACTTGAAGACTACCTGTTTTAGTTGCATGCTACTGAATATTTGACCTAAAAGTCAACCGATTAATTGATTGGGAGTCAGTTAGGTTTGAATGCGGGTGGAGATATGTGTGTTAACAACCAAATTTCACATGTCACTCACTACTACGGTTTAGTGGTTTTTCTATTCGTTTGTAAGTGAAAAGTTTTAGGTTCTATTATCGTTAAAAACGAATTTAAACCACATTATTATTAGTCCGTTGTAAAGCTTAGTTCACACACTCCTTAGTGTAGATATATAGTTTGTTCGAAGAAAAAAAAAAAAAAACCAGATCTCACAAAGATTAACATGCGGCTTGTAATCGGTAGCGGAAGGAGATAGGTAGGAAGGGGGGAAGGGTGGAATGAGTTCACATGACCAAGCTTCACCCACTCTTCTTAATGTACGTATATTGTTTGTTGATTGAAAAAAAAAAAGATCTCACAAAGATTAACATCTGGCTTGTAATCGGTAGCGGAAGGAGACCATGACCCCAACAACTTTATATTACTCCACACAATTTTGCTTTTAATCCCCATATGCCCCAATAAGTTTGTATGTGGAAGAAAATGAGTGACCCCAACAACTTTATTGTACTCCACACAATCAATTTTGCCATTAATGCCCATATACCCCAATAACTTTTTATATGTGGAAGAAAATGAGTGACCCCAACAACTTTATATTACTACACACAATTTTGCTATTAATCCCCATATACCCCAACAAGAATTTCCAATAAATAGATTCAGTTTAAGTTTATGTCTGCATGCTTTTGATTTCTGTCATTTATCAAAACGCTATTAATCAACAGTATTTCGTAGTGAGTTCAATCAATTGAAAGGATTGATCAATAATCTTTAAAAATGGTGTATTTGCTTATGGGAGTCAAATTAAAGGTCTTGGCTGCTTAAGTGGAAAAAATCTAATATTACAGTAAAAAACTCAAGATCATTATATGGTTAATTTGTTGTATACGTCGAAATAAATAATGACATTATTGATAATGATGTCGTACAATGACTAGTCAAATTTTAAGAACCAATCATGAATTATATATCTAACAAACAAAATGTTAACACATCTACTTTGTAACGACCCGTCCCTAAAAATTATAGTTTTTATAATGTTAAAACTTGAATTTATGAAAACGTGAATTTATATAGTTTTTATAATGTTAAAACGTGAATTTACGTTGACTTTTGTTGACCGCATTTTCATGTCATGTAAGGTTCATTTTCTTGGTGTAATCTTGTAGTACTCGTTGCTACGAACGTGTGGGCGCAAACGAAATGTGATTTGGACTTATAACAAAGGAGATATTAATGTTTAAAGTCAGGGATATTTTAGTAAATTGAATATTTTCTGGAAAGCTCCAGATTTTTGGAGCAAAATCTAACCACATAGAACCAACTCCATGACCTTCCTTCTTCATGTTTCACCCCAAAATCTAAGGAGATAGGCCCTAATTCATTGAGTTCGAAGTCGTCGACTCTGACGACAACCTCGTGAGTTCCTGGGCAGCGATCCACCATTTCTGAATGCAATCACATCGAACCCCACCATCAAACAACTTCCCTTAAGCTCAGGAACAATGCCCAATCATTGGTTGAGGTGTCGGAGCGAGGTTAGAGGTCAAATCAAGAAACACCCTTTATAGGGTTTTCAATAGGTTTTAGTGAAATTGAGGCTTTTCTCGGCCAAATTGGCCTTAGTCACAAGTATGAAAGTTGTTCCTCTTATCGAGATCTTCATTCACCGCCGAAAGTAATTGCATATATTTTATTTGTATGCATGTGTTAAATGGCTTCGTCACCTTCGGGTGTCGACTAGGACGTGCCTACCCTGGTAGGCAGGGCCATCGGGGTTAGGGCATGTCATACTTCTTTATCATGACCACAATGAGTTCAAATCCTACATCCGCCACTGCTTGTAATTGAACTTGAAATTAGAATTAGTGATCTCCTTAGCATTATCCTATTACTTTAAAAACAATGACAGGGAGACCAAATAATTTAAACCAAATTTGCAAACAAAATGATGTGGTTGTTGATGATTGAATTATTACTTAAACATTGATTAACGTGCTTATTTTCTATTGGTGACAAATCATTTGATTTTCAAATTTGTTTTAATGAAAGTAAGACAAAATACAAGGGAAAAGAAGTAGGCAACTTAGTCTTCTTCTTTTTTTTTTTTTTTTAAATAAAAATATTATTATCATAGTGTTTGGGCCCAAAATATTATTTTGGGCCGAGCCTGGGATTATTCTCGACCCAGTAGCATTTATCTAGAATTTTCTTATGGGTCGTCCAATTAGGGTCGAACAAATCCTATTGCAAGAAGGATTAGTTTAGATAAGGGTGAAGTAGTCGACTCCTAGTGCAACAACGAGTCTTAAAGTTAAAGATGCTTAAGATCAAGAGATGAATCTAGTTTGTTATGTAGCTTGGCTCAAAGTCCTATTGGAGCTAGGACTGGTCGAAATCTAATCAAATAGCGTTAAGGAGTTCTAATCTGAGTACATTTGTAGTTCAGTTATGAAGGGGTTTTGCTACTATAAATAGAGAAGTGCATGATTCAAAGCCCCCTCCAATTCAACACACATATTGGCATGCGCAAAGTTTCTCAACAACCTTGAGATTTTACCTTCTTCCATTTTCTTCACGCCAACACATCTTCAGTTTAGATAAACAGTACTGTGAAGGTAACCGACGACATCTTCAGTTTTGATAAACAGCACTAAAGCTGTAGAATCAGCCGATCAAAGAGCATCTTCAGTTTGGTTAGACAACACTGCTTCGAGACCGACTAGTTATTATCCAAGTTTTAGTCAACAAGGATTCTCGAGTCTTTATTGGTAAAGGTCATCTCATCAGCCTTCTCAGCGAAGATAGGTGTTATAAGTTACTAGGCTCGGCACATTGAACGCCAAGTTTGTTTTATGATTGGGTATTCACAGGTACATTTTAGAGTTCGGCATTCTGACGGTCGAACCACGTTTACCATCAAGACATCTATCTCATTCAAGTATTTGTGTCTGTATAGTCTGATGCCAGTTCGGCATGCTTATACTTTTACAAATATAATCAACGTGGCCAAACCCAATACCGATGATCCGTGAACTTCGTAAGACTAGCAGCCTTATCTTCAAGCTCTAAAACCTAAAGGCCGAGATGTGTTCCTTCCTTGGCCATAATCACAAGACCAAGAAGTCAGCAATGTGCTCAACGCGACATCAGCATATTTGACTCCTGACTTGGCATGCCCCGCACATAACCGAATGACGTAGTTAGCTTATTAGTTACTCGGCATGTGTGCCACATAAGCTTGGAAGTTTTTAGGGTCAACGTATAAGAAGAGAAGAATTTTGAACCCATAACACATGGGCGTAAACCCTACACCCTAGCCACTAGGATATTGGACCACATGCGCGATCAACTCAGTCCCACATCAAATGGAGTCTGCCGAGGTCAAGCTTCTTAAAAGTTAACTTGGATGGGTCTATAGTTGGTGAAAAGACTATTGCAAAGCTTTGTTATTAGGGTTTCTTTTCAATCAATCTCTTGGAAACATATCTTTAGAGAGACCAATTTCCTTGTAGATTTTGTCACTAGTGTGGGAATCAATATTAGTGATACTTATATACGAAATCACACCTTCCTATGAATGCTAGTCATGCTGTTGTGTTTGACTTTTTTTGGAACTGGTTGTACTCGTCAATTTTCCCTTTAATTGATTTATTTTTTTGGAAAAAAAATAACACTATGTTTCTTCCTTTGTTACTATAATGAAAATTATAGTTTGCCAACCAAAACGTAATTATAATTATAATTTCTGTTTAGACTCGTGGAGCATCTCGAAGAGCTTTTCATATTGTTCTTAGAGGATCTCATTTCTGATCGCTATCTTGTTGTTCTGAGCCTTTAGCTCTTCAACCTTGGCTTGAAGAATAAACTTCTTTTTTTCCTTCCTTCGCCGCCTCACACTAAGAATGAGGGGGGTATCGTTCAGCGTGTTGTGGCTACCTTCGCTCTCCATGTTAGAGAATGATGCCTAATCAAATGAGAGTGTACAAAAGATGGAAACCAGCTTGACAAAGCTGGAGATAGTACAAATAAGTGTTGTTCCCACAGACGACGCCAAATGTTAATGCGTAAAATCAGTGAAGACTTTGGAACAACGTAAAGTGTCAAATTTGTGACCTTCGCTCAATTGTTTGATCACCTAGTGAGGATAATATGTAAAGAGATAGAGATAAGGAAGCAAACACAAGATGTACATGGTTCACCCTAAGTTCGGTTACGTCCACTGAGTAAAGGAGTTCTCATTAATAGTGAAGGGTTTACAAAAATACATAGGTTCAAGCTTAATCATCATTAGTGAGTTCTAATGACTAGTTTAAGTACAATAATGACATTAGGGATTTATGTAGGAGAATTGTCTTTTTTTATAGTTGAGAAGAGTCTCCATCTTTTGTCTGCGGTCGATGTGGGATCCTATGAGCTTTATTCTGACGTTGACATGTGTCGTGTTGTGATTGGCCTTCTGGTTAGAGGAAAACTCTTTTGCTTTGGCTAGGGTGCCTCAGCATAAACCCCTCAGTGGATCCTTTAAGGTATAAAGTTCACCCGTGTTTGATAGTTTCGGGATTGGTCAAGTATGGTGCAAACAAAGTGTATAATGGTAAAAAATCTTAGAACTTCCGCCAAAAGCATAGGCAATTGACAAAATAAATATAAGCCTGGATCATTTTTTTTCCACACTGTCTAATCGTGGGTATGAAAGAAGGTTCTCACTCCTCAGTAGAATATGAAATTACTCTCATTTTCCCTAAGTCATAGAGATGCCATAGAATTGGGTTATATTCCTCACCGAAGCTATCATGACAGAATGAAACCACATTCTATTCACAAGTGACAAAGACAATGCATTAAAAGGTTTCGCTGATCTAAATAACGGTTCAAAAAATGTTCGTATGTCATACGCATTCGAGTGGCACCGGTGGCATTCTCAAGCGATTTACCATGGTAAATTAGGATAAGGTGGAAAATTAAAAAGTTCCTTAGATCCAAAATTTAGAAACCACAAAATTAGTTTGATGTCTAGTTTAAGCAAGATAAGAGTACCAAGTAATGTGTAAATTATATAATATGTCATCAATAAAAAATAATCGTGTTAATTAATACTTAATTAATAATCTAATTATCAACTAGCACATAATATAATTTACAAAATATAGTTTACATACATGATCTCGTAGCATTACCCGAAATTTTAATTTAATCATTGGATGTGCTTTAATGTGGCTAAAACTCCTTACAGGCAAAAGTAACAGCAACCAAAATGGCGTTTTCTAACAAGCCATGTCGGCTTCTTAGCCTTACTTCTCACGTGGCCGACTTTGAAACGACGACATTATCACCGTCGTATGCACTGCACGACTCGATAAAATCCCTAAGAATGTCGTACAGAACTTGGGCCATGCTGGGGTCGAAGAGCTCCACGCCATGAAACCCGTCCTGGTCAAACTTGGCCACCACGTGCGCCCCACGTGACTCAAGAAACGCCACAAACTCTTTCTGCCTATCCATCAGCGGGTCCCCACCGTACCCTCTAACCAAACACCTCGGCAACCGTTCGATCTTCCCATCCCCACCTCCCGCCGTCGGATTACAATACTCGTGATCCCGATCAACGCCCTTTGGCAAAGCCATGGCCCACATCAAGTCGTTAGCGACCAGCGGCAATATCCGATCGTTGATCAACCTCATCTCGGATTCAGTCCTATGGACCCCACCGAAATAAGGCTGGTTTAGTATCAGCCCTCGGATCTTCATCGGCAAGAGATCATCACCCGAAACGCGTAGACCCGCGTGGTAGACAATGTTAGCTCCGGCGCTGCTGCCCATTAGGAAGGACCTGGAGAAGTCAACGGCGTCTTTCAACCAGGGATCGCAGCCGTCGACGTCGGAGGCCTGGCGGTGGACCCAGGCGATGGTGTCGACGGCGTCATCATAGGCTGAAGGAAGAGGGTGTTCGGGAGCCAAGCGGTACTCGACGGAGATAATTAGGGCTTGGAGAGCGAGGGCCATGCGAGAGCAGGAGTCGTGGAATGGTTTGGAGGCGGCGGAGAAGAGGACGAAGCCGCCTCCGTGGAAGTAGATGATGAGAGGGAGGCGGGGGTTTGGGGGGAGAGGGTGGGGTTTGAAGAGCCTGAAGAAGGTTTTTGTTTCTGGGTTTAAGGGGATGTCCTTGGAGAGGACGAGTTGGGGAGAGTTGGAGTCTGACTCGGCGGCCGTGGCGGAAATGGACTCGGTGGGGGTGGGAGTTGGGGAGACGGTGGGGAAAATGGTGAAGCGGGTGAGGGAGCCATCAGGGTTGGGGAGGATTTTGAGGAGTTTGTAGGGGTCAATGGAGGTTGGGGATGGAGAAGGTTGATCCGCCATGGATGTTGTTGAAACTTGCAAATCAAGTGTTTGTGGAAATGCTGCGCTGAAAGAAGAGAGCTTATATGAGGAAGAAAGTGAGTGACGAGTGATGAGGTAGTAGTGTTATTGAAGAAAATTCAAATGAAGACTTGGGGACTACCTGATTGGTTGATTGGGATTCAGTTGGGTTTGCACGCGGGTGGAGAATGTGTGTTTAGAACCAGATCTCACAATGATTAACATGCGGTTTGTAATTAATATTTGGTTTATAAATTTGATCTTTTTAGTATTACTTTTATTTTAGTAAAAGTTAAACAAAATGCAAGGAAATGAAACAGTGGACTTTTTTTTTTTTGTTAAAAAAAACATAGAGAATAAGAAATGTTCGAATTATTACTATAATTTTATAAGGAGAAAATTTCAACTTCGAATATATAAATGTAAATTTTATCTATTAAGATATTAGGTCACATGCGCAATCTACTCAGTCCCGCATCAAATGGAGTCCACCATGGTCAAGCTTCTTAAAAGTTAACTATGATAGTTGGGTGAAAAGACTGGTGCAGGGATTGTTACTAGGGTTTCTTTTCGGTCAATCTCTTGGAAACATATCTTTTTGAAGAGGCCATTTTCCTTGTTGGTTTAGCCGCGTAAGACTCAGTATTAGTGATACTTGTACATGGGATCGCACTCTGTTATGAGTGCTAGGGCTAGTTTGGGATCGCACCCATAAACATGTCTCATTGCAAACCTCATCCCTTCGCTCTTCCCACCCCTTTTTCAATCAAACTCTCCCATCCTTAAGTTTTAAAAACCCAAACAAATAAATAATGAAATTTCAGACAAGATAAGCTTACCAAAGGAAAGACGCCGAACCGGGAGAACACGACGAAGGAGATTGCTGGGAGGAAGGATGACTTCTTTCAGATCTAGTGTGGACTGGGTTCTGGGAAAAGTGGCGAGACTAATAGCGTGAGAAAGGGGAGGGCAGGATTGAAAAATTGAAAAGCTCATTTAAGTGTTACTGTTCACCCGTGTTTCTCTAAATAAGCTGATTTTTCAAAGCTACCGTTTCCAGCTTCCGGATTTTAGCTTTTTTTCACCCATAACTTTGAGAAAAAAAAAAAAAAACTATTTTAAAGTGTTTACCATACACCTAAAATGTCCCAGCTTTTTTTCATACCCATTTTTTTTAAAAAAAGTTAAGCTAAATCAAACCAGGGCCTATTCATGCTTGTATTTGATTTTTCTAAAATTGGTTGCACTTGTCAATTTTTCCTTTAATTGATTTATTTTCCTGAGGAAAAAAAAACACTATGCTTCTTCCTTTGTTACTACAATGAAAATTATATTTTGTCAACCAAAACATAATTATAATTTTAGTTTTGCGTGTTAGCGGAATACATGTGGCTTGAAAAAAAGTAAGAAAGTTAAAATAAGAAGGTAAAGTAAGAAAATTGGAAGCACTTTACAAAAGGAAAATGAATGATCATGCGATATTTACATGTTGCTAGTAGACCTGGCAATTTATTACACGACCCGTTAACACGACATGAAAATAACGGGTTTCGGGCCAACACGATAACTAATCGGGTCATTATCGGGTCACACGATAATAACCTGTTAATAACGGGTCCTTAACAGATTTACACGAGAATGACACGCGGGTAACCTGTTTCGACACAATAAGAAAAATGCTATTTTGATGATTTTAATTTTTTAAACTACTAGAAAAAACTTACTATAAAATGCAATAGATATAATGAATATGTATATATTGTTTATTAAGTTTTATTTATTTATTTATTTTTATAGTATATTATAGGCAAAGATTGAGATTAAAAATCATAAAACACATTAAAAATAAAAATATCAAGTAATTTAAAAATACCAAAAACATAAAAAAATTATAATAATTAATTTCCCGCCTAATATTTCAAGAGTTTCATCTATTTCCCACCTAATATTTGGGAAATTTTGTAGCCTATATCCATCCATTTCCCGCCTAATGTTTAACCCAAAGAAAAAAAATAACCTGCTTTTTTTTTTTTTTTTTTATCTCTTATAACATTTCAACTTGAATAAAAATAAAATATGTAATAAAAAACATAAATGTAATTTTATTATTAAATATCATCACATACTAATTGAAACATAGTCTAATTAACACTTAAAATATATAAATAATTAATATATTTATTCCAAGTCATCAAAATGATAAGATTCACTAATGCTTAAAGTTTAGTTATACTTTCATTAAGTATAACATCAATGCGTATCCCATCAAAATGATGAAAGTATGAAGAAACTCTCAAGTGTTAGTAGATTTATCGTTTTGACGGGATACGTATCCTACAAAACTAATTTCAACAATCCAACCGTCAAACTTGTTTATACATGCTTCGAGATCGCATACTCCAAAAATTGCAAAAAACAAACATTCAGAGATGAAGTAATGAGACAAAACTTTTCAACGGTTAGAAACGAAAAATCATGATTTAACGGTTATTTTAACTCTGATTTTTTACAGCTACACTCCTTGACCTTATATGAATCCAATGAATGAATTCGATCTTCAATTTAAAATATTTACACTAGTGGTACCACAAATCTTATGTTATACTTAATAAAAGTATAAATAAACTCTTAAGTGTTAGTGAATCTATCGTTTTGATGGGATACGCATCCTATGAAACTAATTTCACTGATCCAACCGTCAAACTTGTTTATATATGCTTCGAGATCGCATACACCAAAAATGGCAAAAAAACAAACATTCAGAGATCAAGTAATGAGACAAAACTTTTCGACGGTTATAAACGAAAAATTACGATTTAACGGTTATTTTAACTCCGATTTTGATGAATTTTTACAGCTACACTCCTTGACCCTAAATGAATACAATGAATGAATTCGATCTTCAATTTAAAATATTTACACTAGTGGATACCACAAAATCTTATGTTATACTTGATGAAAGTATAAATCAACTCTTAAGTGTTAGTGAATCTATCGTTTTGATGGGATACACATCTTAGAAACTAATTTCAACGATCCAACCGTCAAACTTGTTTATATATGCTTCAAGATCGCATACGCCAAAAATTGCAAAAAACAAACATTCAGAGATCAAGTAATAAGACAAAACTTTTCGACGGTTATAAATCACGATTTAACGGTTATTTTAACTCTGATTTTGATGATTTTTTACAGCTATACTCCTTGACCCTAAAAAAATATATTAAACGAATTCGATCTTCAATTTAAAATATTTACACTAATGGATACCACAAAATCTTTTTGTTATACTTCATGAAAGTATAAATAAACTCTTAAGTGTTAGTGAATCTATTGTTTTGATGTGATATGCATCCTACGAAACTAATTTCAACGATCCAACCGTCAAACTTGTTTATATATGCTTCAAGATCGCATACGCTAAAAATTGCAAAAAACAAACATTCAGAGATCAAGTAATTAGACAAACTTTTCGATGGTTATAAACGAAAAATCACGATTTAACCGTTATTATAACTCCGATTTTGATGATTTTTTATAGCTACACTCCTTGACCCTAAATGAATACAATGAATGAATTCGATCTTCAATTTAAAATATTTACACTAGTGGATACCACAAAATCTTATGTTATACTTGATGAAAGTATAAATAAACTCTTACATGTTAGTGAATCTATCGTTTTGATGGGATACGCATCCTATGAAACTAATTTCAACGATCCAACCATCAAACTTGTTTATATATATGCTTCAAGATCGCATACGCCAAACATTGCAAAAAAAAAAAAACATTCAGAGATCAAGTAATAAGACAAAACTTTTCGACGGTTATAAATGAAAAATCATGATTTAACGGTTATTTTAACTCCGATTTTGATGATTTTTTATAGCTACACTCCTTGACCCTAAACAAATACAATGAACGAATTTAATCTTCAATTTAAAATATTTACACTAATGGATTCCACAAAATCTTATGTTATACTTGATGAAGGTATAAATAAACTCTTAAGTGTTTGTGAATCTATTGTTTTGATGTGATACGCATCCTACGAAACTAATTTCAACGATCCAACCGTCAAACTTGTTTATATATGCTTCGAGATCGCATACGCCAAAAATTGCAAAAAACAAACATTTAGAGATCAAGTAATGAGACAAAACTTTTTTACGGTTATAAACGAAAAATCATGATTTAACGGTTATTGTAACTCCGATTTTGATGATTTTTTACAGCTACACTCCTTGACCCTAAATGAATACAATGAATGAATTCGATCTTCAATTTAAAATATTAACACTAGTGGATACCACAAAATCTTATGTTATACTTGATGAAAGTATAAATAAACTTTAAGTGTTAGTGAATCTGTCGTTTTGATGGGATACGCATCCTACGAAACTAATTTCAACGATCCAACCGTCAAACTTGTTTATATATGCTTCGAGATCGCATACGCCAAAAATTGCAAAAAAACAAACATTTAAAGATCAAGTAATGAGACAAAACTTTTCGACGGTTATAAACGAAAAATTACGATTTAAGGGTTATTTTAACTCCGATTTTGATGATTTTTTTATAGCTACACTCATTGACCCTATATGAATATAATGAATGAATTCATCTTCAATTTAAAATATTTACACTAGGGATACCACAAAATCTTATGTTATACTTGATTAAAGTATAAATAAGTGTAGATTTTTAAATCCCTCCCAATCTCATGAATAATGTTATTTATTTGAGTGAAAAATTAATAATAATAAGTATAAAAAATGTAATCACTCGTAATGAAAAGCTTTACAACTTTCATTAAGGGGTCAACTTCAAAATTTAGTATGTATATACTAATTTAGTATTATGTTTTACAGTTTTTTGGGTCAAATTATGTTTTTCTTTTCATTTTTATTGATTTAAAATATAATTTTCTTAACGGGTAACGGGTCAGGTCATATTACCTGATAATATTAACGGGTTAATTTCGGGTCGGGTCATATTACCCGTTTTCTTTAACAGGTATTACACGACACGACCCATTAAGCTATTGGGTATGACACCAAAACGACACAAACACGAGAAACACGACACGAATGCCAGGTCTAGTTGCTAGGCTTGACTTGAACTAGCTCAGTTTCTCCTTTAAAGAGTTGGGTCTCCATCCTCCCCAATCTATGGTACCTAACTCAATAAGAAAACATTAAGAAATATTGGACCAACGCAATGAAACCCAAAGATGCCAACCACTAACCATACGTTTAAAGTTAAAAAGACCCATAGTGTAATTTTGCTCACCTCTCTAAAGTAAAAGTGATGCTCACTCCATCATTGATTTCCGTTAAATTAGTTTAAGGGAAATTTTATTTAAACCCATATAACCTATTTCTACACCCAACTTACTCTTTGCATCCATTTGATTTTTAATTAAACTATTAATATCTTTAAACCCAAATTTGATACCTAATATACCCCCATAAACCCAATTCAATATGTGGATTTATTTTTACATGGTTTTCCACAACACAAAAGCTAAATTTGATGAGTTTAGACCTAAGTTCTTTGCATGGTTTTCCACACACACAAAAGCTGATAATTCAATTGTTGAAAGGTGTCAAGAAAGGGAATGAAAGGATCAAATGGATGGACAGAGAACCTTATGCATACTGGAAAGGGAGCTCCTTTGTTGCTGATACGCAGAAAGACTTACTCAAAAATGCAATGTCTCAGAGACACAGGACTGGAATGCTAGCCTATTCATCCAGGTACCATTAAAGATAAAAAAAAATTTCGTTTAAACAAATGGCATATGTTATCAACAACATTAACTTTTGATTGAAAACCCAATTAGCCAATAAATCTACAAACTAATTAGGTATAATTTCAGGATTGGATTCTTAATTCTCAACAAGGCTTCAAGCAATCAAATGTAGCAGACCAATGCACACACATGTATTTTTTGTAGACATATAAATAAAATTCTCCTGTTTGGTAATTAAATTTCACTTTTAATCGTCATTCCATTTTATCATGATTTATGCTGGTACGAGATATAAATTAAGGGTTATGCATGGTCTGTGAGTGAGTAGTACATTCTAGCCTGTGATTCAGCAACATTGCTAGTAAAACCGAAGTACTATGATTTCTTCCCAAGAGGTCTGCAACCAGTGCACCATTACTGGCCTATAAGGCATGAAAACAAATGTAGATCCATTAAGTTTGCTGTGGATTAGGGCAACAACCACAAACAAAAGGTGACTCCTCCTTCTAATTAACTTTCCATTTTGTTCGTAATTTATGGTATGGTTCTTTTTAAACTCCGAGCAAAGCTATTTGTGCCACATTTATACAGGTGCGGTCAACGATGTGATCCCCCTAGCATTACTCTGGAAGTTTATACTCTACGGTTTCTGTTACTTACGGATTTTGGAACAGGCACAAGCAATTGGAAAAGCAGCAAGCGACTTCATTCAGGAGGAGCTAAAGATGGACTATGTGTACGACTACATGTTTCATCTGTTAAATGAAGATGCTAAACTCTTAAGATTTGAGCCACGAATACCCAAAGGCGCTACACATTTGTGCTCGGAGAGTATGGATTGTCCTGTAGATGAGTCGCCCAAGAAGTCCATGATCGAATCATTGGTTAAGAGTCCATCAGCAACAGACCCTTGCACCATGCCTCCTCCCTATGAACCCCGAGCTCTTGCAAAGTTATACAGGAGGAATATTAATTCAATTACACAAGTGCAACAGTGGGAAGATAAATTTTATAATAGGGTTTAATTATAGTGTTTGGGTTTATTGATAAATTTGAGTTTTATTATTAATTTCGTTTTGTACTTAATACTAATTATGCAATATGGTAAAATAGAAAATTAACATTTAAAATTTTAAGTTGGGTGTAAAAGAGGTTGAATGGGTTTAAATAAAATTTCCCTTAGTTTAAATTTCGAAATTCATGCTTTAAATCAATTACACCAAACTAATCTAACGGCAACTAATGGGGCACATAAGGGTAAAAAAATCCTAGAATTTTCACCAAAAACATAGGCAATTGACAAAATATATATAAGCCAGGATCATTTTTTTCACTTTGTCTAAGTTGGGTATGAAAGAAAGTTTTCACTTCTCAGTAGAATCTGAATTTACTCTCATTTTCCCTTTAGAAGTCACAGAGATGCCATAAAATTGGGTTCGATTCACGAGTGACAAAGACAATTCACTTAAAAGGTTTTGCTGATCTACGTTCAAGCTCAAACAATGTTCGTATGTCATACGTATTCGAGTGGCACCGATGGCATTCTTGAGCGATTTACCATGGTAAATTAGGATAGAATGAAATTTAAAAAGTTCATTAGATCCAAAACTTAGAAACCACAAAATTAGTTTGATGTGTAGGAATTGAAGATTTCCAGCATCCTATTCAGCTCATAAAAACACTTGCTTCATTCCTATAAGCAATGCAGTTTGATCACGTAATGTGTAGTAGTGATGGGGTGGCCAAAAAACACTTGCGTCATTTCTCAAAATAGTACAAAGCAAAGCCGACACACAAGTCTTCGAATGTTTTTTTATCCCCACAGAAAATCCAATTCCCAGTGTTCGTCCTAAACCCTACCTGTACCGAGAAGTAAGCACACCCCCGGTACTCCACTATGGCATCCCAAAACGATGCCATGAGATTTAGCGTTCCCATAACATTGCCTTATTAGCCCGGGACGCCACAATGGTGTAACGGGTGTAACGGGAGCACAAGCAAGTCTCTCGTACATTCCACCTCCACAAAAAGCACTAGGCTTCCCATAGAACACTAAGAACAGTGAGAGAGAATTTAATTCTTCCAAACAGAATGTACCCCTGCCCTGCCTCAAACATACACATAAGCTCTCAAATAGGCCCTGCCCTGCCCCAAACACGCACTCACCCACCCCAAGATTATGTGGCACAGCTACAGTGGTTAACTGATGAGTTTGAAATGGGACCAAGATTTGACCCCCTTTCCTAAAATTTATGCTAATTTGGCACAAAATGCTCTGCTTCTTTTCAAAAGTAAGCAGACAACTCAAAAGGAGTCATGTTTCAAGGGCCCTATAAAGGTCCTAAAAGTCACAAAAAGCAAGCTCCTCATTCGAGTCCCAGGACGGGAGGAACTTTGCAGATTATCATGGCCTACAACTATTGCAAAAGTAAGAAAAGCAATGTTTCCATTTGCTTACTTTTTACTCTCAATCATGAAATTTCCTAGATGTCAACACCTTCAAGGAGCAAAACAATCAGTTGGGTTGCTTTCAGTGAAATTATGTGCAGGCAAAACTTAGTGACATCCAAACAACTGAGTAAAAAAAGGGACTGAGGTTACGAGAGTGATGCAACTTTTCTTTCCTTTTAAGCATGAATTTTTTACACAACAAGATAATTAGAAAGAGGGCCTACAAAAGTACACTCTACAGTTAACAAAATAGGATAAACTCACCGGGCCTTTTTCCGGGACTTGAACGGAAAATTGGAAGGCGGCGAAGGTGAAAATTCGAAGGGCAAATGCGGCGGCTCTGATTGGCCCAGAAGCATCCCCACAATCTCCCTCATGGTTGGCCGCTTGCCCGGTGTTCTCTGCAGACATAGCAATGCAATTGTGATGCATAGCAAAGCCTCTTCCTTGTCTAAAGAGTGTATGGATTGGTCTACGAGATCCAAAAGCTTCCCATTTCGACCAAGCTGCCTAGCCCACGAAATCAGATTGGCCCTTTCGAATTCTGACATTGGGGAGGCCGTGACTTGCAGCGGCCTCCTACCAGAAATCAAGACCAAAACCAAGACTCCAAAGCTATAGACATCACATTTCTCGGAGAGCTGCCCACCACCGCCATATTCAGGGGCAACATAACAAACTGTGCCTCTCATGCTTGGTGTGCTACTAATACCACCACTTTTTGGTACATCACCACCGCAAGTACTGCCCCAATCTTGACTATTCCTCCTCCCACTTCTAACATCACCACCCATTCCATCCAACCACCAATCAATACTCCCTCTGCTGCTCTTGCTCTTGCTTTTCCTCTTCTTCTTCTCTTGCCCCAAATCCTCATCCTTTTGCCACCACAACTCTCCACCACCACTAGCCGCATCGAAAGCCCTCTTCTTCTTCTTCTTCTTTTTCTTGGTGAGCTCGTCACAAAACTCCTCCTTCCACCACTCCCTCGGCTTCCGATTCTTCTCCTTCTTCTTCTTACCCCTCTCCTCATCCGATGACATCCACCAATCGAATCCCTTCTTCTTTGGCTCGGCATTGACACCACTTGTGCTCGGTGACGCAACCCATTCGCTCTTTGGCCTCTCCTTTTTTATTTCACTCCCAATCCATTCCATCACATAGTCCTTGACTCTCCCGGACTCAGACCCCAATCCGCCTCCATTGTCCTGTTTCCACCACCAGTCCCTCCCTGAACTTCCCTTAACCCTCTTCCCCAAACCCAAATCCATCTCACTCTCTACACTCACCTTGTCAAAACCCCCTTCCGGCGACGTCGCTGCAGCGTCGGAATCCCCAATCCTCACCAGAGAACACTCCGGCGACTGGCCCTCTTCAAGCCCGCCAGTCACAACACTCAAACTCACACTCTCCTCTTCCAAAATCGACCCATTATCATCCCCATCCCTCTTCTCCCTTCCCCTGCTCTCTTTCTCCTCCTCCTCTTGCCCTTCCTCCACCGCCACAACTCCGCCGTGCTCCCCCTGCTCTTCCGACTCCGTTTTCAACCTCGCCAACCCAAAATCCCCAATCTTTGCATTGAAATCCGAGTCCAGCAGCACATTGCTAGGCTTGACATCGCCATGAATCACCGGCGGGTCACAAACATGGTGCAAATACTCGAGCCCACGAGCCACATCAAGCACAACACTGAACCTCTTGTTCCAAACCATAAGCTCCGGGCACTTCCGATCCAACAGCGCCTCCTGGAGGCTTCTATTAGGCATGAGCTCATACACCAGCAGCAGCTTCCGGCCGCGGCGGTCGGTGGAGAAGCCGAGAAGAGAGAGAATATGAGGATTGGTGAGGTTCAGAGCTATGGAGAGCTCATTGTGGAACTCCCGCTCGCCTTGGAGAGAGCCATTGGAGTCCATGAGCTTCACGGCGAGGGATTGGCCGGAGGGGAGTGAGGCTTTGTAGACCGAGCCGAATCCGCCATGGCCCAGCCGGTTCGACGCCGAGAACAAGCCGGTGGCTCGCCGGAGTAGAGTGTACGAGAACCGATGGTTGTTGTCCCTCTTCTTGCTGGGTGTGGCGGTGGGCGTGGTGGTGGCGCTGCTGTGGTGGTGATCGAATGGGGTTGTGCGGTTGTAGGACAGCTTGCGGTAGAGGAAGACAAGGAAGACGACGAGGGAGACGAGAGTTAGCGTTAAGGATACGGTTATCAGTGGTACGAGGATACGGCGGTGGTGGTGGTGGTAGTTGGGTGGCGAAGATGGTGGAGGACGGGATGGCATGGTCGGTAAATAGGAGGGAAAAGAGGGGCGTTTATTATAGTTACAACAGTTAGTTTTGTTTGAGAGAGTAATATGGAAATTGGACTTCCAACTATGGATATGGAATTATGTATTATCGGATAGTCCACTGAAAACGAAAGGCAAGGAAATTACCAACAATACGGCTGTGACCATATAAGCTGAAGGTCCAGTGAGCTTAATCCTTATACACGTGTTTCTTTCCTATTCGCCCGTCGTTTCTATTTCCAACTGTCCGAGGTAAAGGTAGTGTCTGGTTGGGGACTATGATTTTACGCGATACCTTTGGGCAGCCACGTGAGTGGGGGGTCCACTTGTAAGAGAACGGATCTAACGCACCAGGGGGGGCGCGTGTCCGGAAAGTGTGCTTTGCTCTTGAAGCTATTTTAATTTGGCATTTTCAGTCAAAACAATTTACGGGATTCCCACAACTTTACATTTTCATCGATAGATCTGAAATCAATAAAAATAGTACTTCAGATTATCAATCATCAATTATTTTTATATTTTTATAAAAAATTATGTTAAATAAAGATAAAAATTATCTTCAACTTAATAAATAATATGCCAAAAAATGATAGCATTTTTATCATTTTGTACTTATTTAATGAAATTTTTTTACAATATAACTAGAAGTCTAAAATGATTTACAGTAAATAAATTCAGATATCAATGTTTTAATTTTTTATATGAAGTTTTATATTTTAGTTTTTAATTATGGAATAAAATTCACTTCCCTCGTATTCTCATCTCCTTCCCTCTCCTCTTCTTAAATATTGATTTTTATCTTATTATCTCTATAAATAATTTAATATAAAATATTAATATGATTAAACTGTAATTGTTCAAATAGAAAAAAAAGATAAATTAGAAGAGACGATATCCCCCTCATTTTAAGTATATCTGCTCTGCTGTTGCTATTTGTCTGTAGTCCAAAGGTACGCAGAGCGCGCATTTTACCAGAAGGAGACGTAAAAAGCGCAGGTGGTCCTGGATGGCTTTTAATAGCTTAGACTTTCTGTACAAAATAGTTCTGAGGGCTACTGCAGCTACTACACTGCTATAAACAGAAGGTGCCTTTTCTTATAGAGATTTTTTTTTTTAAAATGTATTTGTAATTGACGAGAATTAAAAAGTCAAAATATGGATTAATGCAAATATTGGTGTCAATGTTGGAAAACAAAAAAGTTGACTTAAATTTCAATGCGTGTTTTAAGTAGTGTTTAAACACAAGTTACAAAATTGAAAATATATAATAAGAAAGTTGAGGAGTAGAAAGAGGTTTACTTGTATATTTTATCAATTCATTACTTCAAACAAAGAGTTATAAAATAGTTAAAATGTATCGTGACCGAAGAGTATTTGATACCCAACTATTATTATTAACATTTATTTTATCAAAAAGAGGTGTAATTTCTACGTTCCAAAGCAATTAAGCTTTTTATTCTACTCTACTCTTAGGCCCCACATGACCCAAGCACCATCATCATCCATAATTGTGTACAACTTACCCATTTGAGACTCGGTCTATTATTTTTGTTATATCTCGAATGTGAGACTTTATTCTCCAACTCTTATACATAAGTGAACTTGAAGAAACTTTTTTTTTTTTTTTTAATTATGTATGGAGACGGATTGAAATAGTATAGTTGATTGACTAAACAACATGTCTATTTATTAATTACAATTGATTCACTAAACAAGCTGGATATGACATCTTTGCATGAAGTTTTTTGACCTAGCCACCACGAAGAGTTTTGAATAGAAAATCTTAGGTCATCTTTAATGGAAAGGGCTAAGGGTTCAAAAGCCAAAAAATGACTTGATTTGTCCAAAAACTCATCTCCAATCGATGGTTGGGCTATAATTTTATAGAGCCTACTAGACCATTATTTGGCCAAAGGGGCATTACGCCATCTCCAACCGAAAGGTCCAGAGGGCTAAAAATAACCCGAAAATCGTTTCCAACCGAGGGCTCGTGGGCCCCATGAAATTTGAAAGGCCCAAAGGGATGGCTGCATGCAACTAGCCAGCCAGGCTGGGGTTGGCTAGAAATTCAAAAAATCCTGTCGGATGTTGGCTAGAAATTCAAAAAATCCTGTCGGATATAACCGACAGGAATGCTTAAACAAAATTTTGAATCCAACAGCTAGCTAACTAGCCATTGTATTCGATTTTTTTTTTTTTGGGCCAATTTTTTTTTTAATTCTTAAAAATTCTAATTTTTTTTCCTATAAATACCTAAACCATTCATTAAATTTAAGTTCTATTTTTTTTGGTTTTTTGGGCCAATTACCATTGTAGTTTTTAAATATAAGTTGTATTTTTGAAATTTAAGTTGTTGTTGGATTTGAATTTAAGTTGTTGTAGTTTTTAAATTTAAATAATAAATTATGTTTGGCCCTAGGTTGGTTATGGTTTTTTGTGACATGGCTAAAACGAGCCCTATGGCCCTTTGGCCCTTAGTTGGAGACGGAGGTAAATATGGCCATATACTGTTCATTAAAATATTAATATCTTAGATGCCCAAATGGCTAAAACAAGCCATCTGGCCAGCCCTCGGTTGAGGGCCCATCTCGTAAATTGCAATAATTGATTAAATTCAATGGGAAGGTTGAAAACATCCAAAGATAATTTAATCAAATTGACCACTAAATTTAATATATAAACTTAAAACTAATAAATTATTAGGGGGTTATGTTTAGCTTCTTCGGTTGAAAATGATATAAATATAGTCTAATATTATTTATTTAAAATAATTTTTTACAATACTATAATTCTGAACAAAACTATATTTAATTATTTGTATGGGGATGGATTTACTCATCTTTAGTCAAGTATTATTTTATACAAAGCTTGGAAACATAGGTAAATATGGAGGGGTATTTAAGTAATTGAGAAGATAGAATTTGACTTTTGTAACATCGTAGAAGGAATCTGCCCCGGCGTCGTAGACTTTGGGGGTTTTACGCATTGCTTGCGACGAGTGAGCGTTACACTGGGATCATGTGAGTCCCACACTTTTCCATTTAATTTTTAAATTAAACATTATTTTATTTTTTTCTCAAAAAAAGTCGAACCCGCGCTTGTCGAGGTGGTCTGAGTCTGTGACCCGTGAGAGAAAAGAGACAGCGATATTTCCCAGACACCCATCTCCTATCTGCCCCTTCCTGCAATGCTTGCTTGCGACGGATTTGGATTTTATCTTCATTATTTTCTTTGCGGGGATTTTAAAGATTTTTTTGTCGTATTTATTGTTGTGCGGTTATAAATTATTTTATATAAAATTAAATGTAAAGTTATATTCAACAAAAATTAATCGCATGATGTATGACAAAATAATAAAATATGAGAATTTCTAAAATTCTTACAAAGAGAATTCAACTCATTCGCTTGGGACGATGATCATGGTATAAATGATATTTCAAATAATTAAACAAAAAAATGGGGGGTCTTTGAGATTTTTGTTGCAGGGCAAATTGTGATATATAGTTATTTTACAGTTGAACGTGAATATATTCCTGCCTGCACCGTTTTTCAAGATATGTACAACGTGTCACGTGGCTGCATTTTTGTGTGCCTTCTTCGTATTTTATTTATCATCACTTGCAAATTTATTTAATGATAAATGACAAGCCCAATCCTGTTCAATTAGATGTACAAAAGGTATGGATTTCGGCACATTGTCACGATGTTATTTCGTGTTAATGTTTCAAATTATAATTTTATTAATACAAGACGTCATATGTCAACATAACAATACACTATAAATTGTTCTGGCGGTGTAATCAAGTTATTATGGTAGTTTTGGAGCTTAAAAGGTAGTTGGGTATAACATGTTGCCAAGTCAGTATTTTACGTAACTATGGTTGAAAAATTCACGGATTTGGATCCTCTCCTAAGCTAATGGAAAGATCCTTCTGATCAATCATCGTGAATCGTTGGATTTTTATCTAATGACTACAATCATTATAACTTTAAAAGAACCTCTTGTTTGTAACCGTTGGATCAAAATCCAACGATCCATGATGATCAGTCAAAAGGATCCTCTCCATTAGCCTAGGAGAGGATCCAAATCCATAATTCACGAGGTCTACTCTGCGATTCACTTATTTTTCACTTATTGCAATTCATGGATCTGATCTGTACTGCCACTCAGTCTGCTGCCAATAGTGTGAAAGTCCCATGTGAATTCATGCAGTCACCTCGCATTTACTTATCTGCCCTTATCTGCCGCTGCTGGTGGTGGTGGTTAAAACTATAAATACAAAGGCTGCAGCCCTGTACCTATTTTCGTCCTTCCGGTCTACTCTGGCTATATCCGTATGTGACACCCACACACACACACTAGTCGTTTTTTCTCACTTAACACCGACATCATCGGCTCACCTTGCCTGACCTAAATTCACTCGTATATATGCCGTTACCGGCATACAGAGTGTATACATACGCCTTTACATCTCATTTGCTAACAAATCCCGCGCTCAATGTTTGGAGCCGTTGGGTTGCTAGATTTTAAACAGAATAATCCCCATTCATCAATCCAACGGCTCCAAACATCACTTTTCCCGTGCTCACAAGAGAATTTCAAAATCTGAAACTGATAAGTCTAGCAAAGTACCATGCAGACGAGACAACGTAAAACCAACGTAGCAATTCATAAATTTGTACAAATACTTTAAAAAATTATTACGATTTCCAGCAATCATAGAAGACGAGCAAGAACACAGGATGATACAGACGAAAGACGGGCGGGAATAAACCAATACCTATTGCCGTTATTATCCAATTATAACAAGGAAAAGAATGTAAGAAGAGACTGTTGAAAAGGAGCAAGCATGGCAAAGTATATCTCTATTCATTAAAACCTACCATTCACACAATATAGCAGCAACAAAGCAAGTGCAGGCAGGCACATTACCGCGGCTTTGCACCACCATTTTCTTGGACACTATTCACTGGAGTTGTGGAGCCACTTCTTCTCCTGGAATGGCTGGATTGCCCAGTGATAGTCCTACCCATGAACTTCCCAGCTTTGCTCAGGCCACTGCCAACAGCCCCCAGCCCACTCCCAACCATTCCAACTCCAGAATTAACGCCACTTCCCACAAGCCCAGCTCCAGCTGTAACACCACTTCCCACAAGCCCGGCTCCAGCAGTGACACCACTTCCCACAAGGCCAGCTCCAGCAGTGACTCCACTTCCCACAAGCCCGGCTCCAGCGGTCACACCACTTCCCACCATTCCAACACCGGATCCAACCACTGAAGCTGCTCCATCAAGTGCATCCATTGTGCTGCCGATAACTCCTGCTTCTTTCAGTTTCTTTCTTTCTTCTAGGATCCTCTTCTCTTCTTCCAAAGCAATCAACTGCTCTTCCTTGTTAAATTCATGGTAAAAGACCTAAAGTATAACCCGACTTAGTTTAAAAAATTGGTAAGGGAAAAAATAGTAAAGATTCAGACCTCTAACAGCATCGTTAAAAAGAACATATAATCAGGCAAATTAAGTTAAGTATTTCAAGGCTTCCCAAAAGTATAAGTTTCACACAGTTGTCATAGGATAAAAAACGAGAAGTTGAATAAGACAATAAATACACAAAAGGACCGTATATATATATAAGGCACATATTAAAACCGATAAAGTACGGAAACAATATTCGTGGCGTTGAACCCTTACCTTGATTGTAATGGTTCCTCTATCCTTCTTTTCCTTTATTTTTAGCATGTTAAGTGATGGCTGCAGTCTCAGTTCAATCTCTTTAGGAGTTTCTGCTTCCAGCTCAATCAAAGGTAATTTTGTTACTCCCAATCGCTTGTCTTGTCCAATGTCCTCATCAAAAACCTGTTCAAAGATTTGATTAATGTTAGTTTGCATTTAGATTTCCTCACTAAAAAAAACATACATTTTAATGTTAGTTTGCATTTAGATTTCCTCACTATAAAAACGTATTTTTAATTTTGAAGTTTGCTCATAAGGCACAACAGATCCATGATACCAACCGTCCTAAATAAAATGTGAAGTTCTGATTAGGAACCATGGCTTCAATAACTAACTTAAGTCCATGATACCGTCAACGTATAGGGATGAAATGATTCAGAACTATTATGTTTCAAGTACGCAAGTATTACATGTGTGGACTTAAGTCATAGTTCAAATCTAATTTAATATAGTGAAACTGCGACAAATTTCATACTTCCTAGTATCTATTGAGCATAGAGACATCTGCACGCAAGTTTCTTAACCAAACATCACCACTTATAAACATTTCAAAAACATTAAATAGACATGCAAGATTCCAAGTTATGCATACATGTTTGGAAGAAAGCAAAGAAGCAAAAGCCAAGGCACAAGTGATAAAGAAAGGATGAGTGATTGGTAAATCACCTCAAGAATAAGTGATTGAGTCTCCTTGTCTTCTGCGATCAACTCGAAAGTTTGGTCCCAAACAGGATTCAGATTGTTATCAATAACCTTGGTCTTAACCTTGAACAGTGGACGAATGTAGACAACAACGTAAGGGTCCGATTTTCCAATCATTTCCATGTTCTTCAGATCATTTGCTTTCGCGACAGTCAAGGTGAGCTTTCCTTGAGGTTTAAGCTCCAGTTCACTGCATAACCCAAAAAAAGTGTTATAGATAACAACCCTTAAAACATAAAGGAATATAAAAATCCCAACGTCCTAAAACAAGAATGGTCATCGAACCAGAGGGAAAGGAACAACGGTCATACCATCAAACATGGTTAAACTTTGATGAAGTAATAGAATACAAATATGTATAATTCTATATATTATCATCTTTTAAACGTTAAATTTGATTATCAGATATAAGTATTATTACTTGATCTTTTATGCTTGTGTTTTTACATCAAGCGTAAATTCTTGGTACTAAATTTTGGTAGGCACTTCTCATCTTTTACTGCATACTGCTATGTGCTAAGTAACTTTATTAAAAGCACTTTTGGATAAGCATGTTTACTATAGGTTTAATCTACTTAAAAACTATTACTTTGTTTTTCACCGTTTCTGGATAAACTAAAAGGACAAATGATTTAAAAAAAAAAGAGACAAATGATAACTATAGAACAAATAAATCCTCGGTTCAAATCTATATAACTACAAATCAGAACCTTTTTAAAATGTAAGTGCATTTTAATTGGGGGCAACCAATTGACCAATATATTGCTTTGATCACTGGTGCCAACTGTAAGAACAGTGTAATTCCTAGCACTCTTGTATCACTAAATTAACTACTGAACCAATCTCTCCTGTGCATTATATCTTGAAGTCAATAGGTGAAAAGGGCAAACAGATAACAAATGGACAATTCACCCATGAGTGTTGAACTGAATTTTATGAGTTTTCTGACACCAAGTCACACCACCAATTTCTAGCAGGGAAAGGAAGAAAATAACAATTCAAAATTACCTTGTATCAACAGGCAGACCACCTATTGGAACAACAATCCTGTGTGGCCACTGGAGCATGTCTGTGACAATGGATTCCACGGTATCCTAACAAATGGTTTGCAAACAGTAGAATGAGACTAGTAACTTACAAACAAATCAAGAAGATGATGACTTCACATCAAAATTATGAAACTTACATCAATCATATCTGAAATTCCAGGGAGTGCTGTTAAGCTTCCACCAACAGCCTTCAGAGTGTAATCAATTCTCGGCTTTGGCTGATCGGATGTAAACAAGAAGTAATCATTCAATAAACAATTTTGTAAAGACAAGTGTAGAAAAGTTTGTGATGTAATTCTACAACACCCCCATACTTCTACAAGATATGAGTCAGATGACAGCTTGATGACAGACTACACTCAGCAAATATAAATGATGCAAAACATGTACTCCAAACAAACTTAAAACTCCTACAATCAAAACTTTGAGGCCATGTTAGATAATCACCAGGCTCCAAAAACTCCTACAATTAAGCTGTAAGGGAACGGACCAACAACTTATATCAAGCTAACGCCAACAAGGTTAACTAATAGTAATAACCACCCTGAGAAATGTATGGACTTCAAATCATCACCTATTTGCACGTAGTTAAACATTTAAAAAATACCTCTGCAAGTAGAGCAACAACAACCGCAGAAATACAAGGGATCTCTTCCGCAAGTTGGAAAATCACACGAACAACGGTAAAAACTTGAAGATCCTTCAACTGTAGCCATATATGCCACAAAAAAACCAGAATTAAGACTACATTGCAAGTTAAGATTTGATATGGAAAAGAACATAGACCAACAAAAAATTCTTATAAAAGAAACAAACACTTGTCCAAAAACAAAGAAAAACTTTTCAAAAGTAGATCATCGAAATGGGTGATATATCAACCTGAATGGGGATGGAAGCAACAAGTGCAGCTTCAACACCTAATACGATGTTGGGATCGCCACCCCAACGAAAGTCAATGTCCATTGTAATTTGACCTTTTTTAAGACTTTGAACCCGAATACCTGCATAAATTGATTACAAGAAGGTTTGAAAGACATTTATAATTTCCAAATTAAAAAAAATAAAAAAATAAAAATGTAAAGAAGCTTGCAAGTTATACGTAATCACCATGTAACAAGTTGACAACTAAATCAAATTCTTCACAATAAGAGATTAGGAACCAGTAACAAAATGCAAAGTTGAAATAAAGGCACTATTTATTAAAAAGGTTTGGGAAGTAGAAACGTCAAGCTCAACAGTTATCATTGGCAGCAACAACTGCAAGGGGACAAGACAGGCTACCGTCCCCACAACCAAAAGAGGATAAGTTCAAGTAAAACTTCCCACTCTTTGAAACCCTAACTCTCTAATGCCTCAGTACAGTTGTCAAATCCGAAAAACATAGTCCACCGTGAAAACCATAGCAAAACATAGAATGCAAGACATACCATAACAAAGCTACAGATTAAATCCACCATGAAAACCAGAGCACAGATATGATCTCAAAGTCATATATTCCAAATGATCCAGAAAACAACATCAATATCCTCCTTGAAAAAGCAATTATAAACCAAAGGCTATACTAATTAGAAAATTAAGTTGATATTGAAAAAAAAAAAAAAAAAAAAAAAACAAAAGAGAGAACCCTTTGACCTTAACGGGACTTCGACAGCCTGAGGCATATGGTAAAAACGCAATACCCATAAAGATTATTTTAACAGACTACCATCAAGTGGGATTAATATGCCAAAAAAAGAGGTGAGAGAGAACTGATCATAGATAATACCTTCGATTTTGGGTGCCACGGTACCAAGAGACAGTTTGCTGAACTTCAATGAAGTAATTCCTGGAGGTCGGTATTCTTCCAGTAGTGGTTCAACAGAATCTTTTATAATGATTTCTGCTGCCTGAATAAATAAATGCAACAACCACAAGGTTCTTGCTTCAAATGCATTTCAGAATCATATGTACAACGAAAAAAATAAAATCTTACATCTGCCACATACGGCCACAGTTTGCTCAATTGCTTATTCAACCATTTCACCTGAAGGGCAAACCAAGGTAATGCACTTAATTACAATTGACAGCGTATTAGCAAAACTGAGTACATTAATAAAAACAATAATATAATAAAAGTTCACAAAAAACCTGTTCAAATACAGGGAAAGATATCCATTCAGGAAAATTGTCCCCGCATATTTTCTTCAAGTCATCTCTGTTTAGCGATCCAAGGAGCTTTATGTCAACTGCCTGTGAAAGAATAGGTTATACTAAAGATTAAGACAAAAGATAATCCAATTCATACAAAATATATCAAGTATTATAACTCCCGGGGTGAAATAGAAACAATGAAGAACGATAGTGACTGAATCCATGTTTGTTACATTGCCACAAATGCTATGAATAAAAAAAATATGAATGACCAAGTAAGCATAATCCAGGTAAGCATAACAAGATGACCCAAGACCTTTTCAAATATTCATGAAAATAGAAATTACAGTAAACTGACAATTGAGTTCCCATCAGATTATGCATCAGACAAAAAAAAAAAGAAAATATATATATATATCAACCGGTTTTGCGTGTGCATATATATAAGAAAATGTTATTTGTCTCCATATGCAACTGAGCTATATAAACTTTGCTCTGCCCCTTCATCAATCAGTAAAGAAAGATGAAGCCAAATGGTAAAGAAGCCACATTAAGTCAGCACACTTGCCTCCTCTTAAGGATGACAATCCAACTGAGTATGGTTCACTAGACACGTAATTAGTCCGTTGTCCACAAATGAGACTCCACCAGATTTATAATTTGTTTTCCTTCCGTTCCTTCACTAAAACTGCCTCCTATTACTCTGACAATATACTATTCATCACCAAAAGTCCTTCCATCTGCAGGTAAAGCCAAGTGAACATGCCTCCCAACTTTGTGTGATCGTCCTTAGACAAGGATAATCAGCGTGTTGAAGCCTCAGAAAAGCAGTTTAACCTTGTCGGTTTCTCAATTGCCACCGAGCCTTCTCCATCTAATTCTCGTCATTTCAGTTTTTGCTAGTCAGTTTCCTAATCTTATTTATTCTCCTAATTAGCAAAATCCTCTACGAAATTCTACCAAATTTCAACAAAGATTATAGTTCTTTCCCTATACGTATCTAACTCCCGAATTCCGACAATGTGAGAGCAAAAAATGTACAATGCAAATCCAACCGAAAATTCGAGACTGGCAACAAAAAGCATTTCAATTACCAAACAATTGAGCAACAACAAGAAGAAACAGTAATAAACGTCAAAGAGAAATCGAAGGCAAAGCCATAAGAGTACCTTAGCGACTCGTTTGGTGCTTCGATACCTCATCATATGACGCCATCCGGCCATCAATGCAATTCCGAACACCATCCCCATCAGAATCCCCGAAATCAGCCCCATTTCCCTGGAATCCAAACACAACCTCCCTGCAAAGGATCAAAAATCCAAAAATGAACCGACAAAATTCAAATGTGGAAGAATCGAAGCGCGCGCATGAGAGAGAGAGAGAGAGATAGAGAAGCATTACCGGCGAAATCGAAGGAATGGGAAGGATCGAGAGAGCGAAGGAATTAGGGATCAGCGAGAGAGAGAGAGAGAGAGAGGATAAGACGGAGTTAGTGGAAATGCGAAACGAAGAAACCGAAGCTTTGAAATATAATCTTGTTGTTAATGTAATATTTAATTTGGATATTAATCTCTTTCTCCTCACTTGTCTAACAGTGGGGTGGGGTTCTTGCCTTAAATGTGCCTCTGGAGATATGCCTGTCTGAGGGTAGAGTGTTTTGGCTGTGGGTTTGCCTCCACAGGATCATGGCAACCACTAACCAGAGAGAGAGAGAGAGAGAGAGAGAGGACAGAAAATGAAAGCCAGGCGAGCATTCAATTCAAGCCTTTGCCAATTGGAGGGCGGCCTTTTTTGCTTTTCAATGTTTATTGTTATCGCCTTATCGGTTACGTTTTTTAATTCAATTACGAATTTGTCACCTACGCTTTTAGTGATGCCATGATTATTCAACGCTTGGGTGGGTGTTTTTTGTTGGGACGGAATGACTTCAAATGGTCACAACTTTTGTTATTAAAGAGATGTGACTGGGGTTCCATAGTTGATAAGGTGTTTCGAAAATCAAATCGACATTGAAACAATTACTGAAATCGAAATTTGTAGAAGCTAATTACTTCAATCATATTGGTGCGTCAAGTTGATTACGATTGTTTTTTCTTCAAGTGAAATTAGATTTTTTTTTTTTTGAACAAACGATATTATCTACATTAAGGGGTAGAAGAGTGAGTTAAACTTCATAATGGGCTAACGAATAATGTGGTTCAAATTCATCTTTGGCGAGAATCGAACTTAAGATCTCTTCAAGTGAAACTAGCAAATAATGTGGTTTAAATTCATTTTTGGCAAGAATCGAACTTAAGATCTCTCACTTACAAGTGAAGATGAATACCACTAGACCATAGTATTAAGTGGCAAACTAAACCGATAAATTTGTTTGGCTAGTTTCATACCCAGGCGGATCCTTTTTGTGAGGATCCTGAGGTTCCTACAATCACATCCGTTCATCATACATCGTACGATCTGAAATCATTATAATTTTTTTTATTTAAAATTGAATATAAATTATACTTGACAAAAACTGGCAGTACGATATATGATGAACGGATGTGATTGGAAAATCTCTGGAATCTCGCAAAAAGGATCTGACGAGGATCCGACGAGGATCCTCACTCATTTCGTACTGTCATGTATAAGTGACCATGCACTGGCCAAAGAATACTTGACTAGCGAGATGCCTTTAAAAAATTAGACACATGTTTTTTCCTTAACTTTTGTAACAAAAGTCAGTAACTAAAATAAATTTTTAGGAGCTATAGTGAAAAATCCTAAATATTTTAGAGGACATGTATAAAAATCACTCTTATTACGTAGCATTTGGTTTTTGAGATTTGGGCATTTTTTGTTTTTTATTACGCGTTTTGTGTTGCTCTTTCACCCTTTTCTTTAGACATTCAATTTACTCTCACTAATTCTTTTAATATCCAAAATAATTTGCAATACTGTATAAGCCCCCTTATAGTAATTATACGGAATAAGATTATTGTTGTTCTTGGAATAATACAAAAATCAATTTTCTTTTTGTATTTTCTGGACAAACGCCTTGGCTGTTTAGGCCGTTGCTAAATATTAATCTTCCCACAACTGTTTTCATAAAACGGCCGTGACATTCTACTTTTACGCCTTTCTTATTTTCTGTTTTTTGTCTTCTTTTTGGACATCTTTTGGCTTTTTGTCATTTTGTACGTTTACATAATTAATTTTGTAAGTTTAAAAAATAATGCACAGCTGAAATTAAAAAGTTAGAGCTTTGATATATTATATTTTTAAAAAATATTGTGAGTATGAAAAATATTGTAAGAACATTTGATAAACTTTAATGTAAAAGTGATATAATTATATACAATATATAATGACAAAAATGAATATGGTATAAAGTTTTAATGTGGAACTATATAATTATAAAGTGTGAAATGCTGATTTAGTCCCTGAACACCTTAGTGAAAATTAAGTTCCTAAATAATTTTTTGGACAAAATAAGTCTCTAAATTCATTAAAAATTGCTAATTTCATCCATACTATTATATTAAAAGCTATTTTATTAAAATTTTCGTCAACTTAAGTCACTTGACACACATTTAAGTATAATACCGTCATTTTCTCGCTTAGAAACCCTTAACATTTCTTATAGGTTACAAATCTAATGTCTAATTTACCCTCCAAAGTTAATTCCATACATTATTTCTTTATGAAAAATCACCAATTTATGTATATCACATGCAAGTAACGTGACTTAAATTGACGCAAAATTGAATATAGTAGCTTTGAATCTAATATTAGGGATGTAATTGACAGATTTTTATAATTCAATGACTGATTTTTAAAATTAAAAAAAAAAGGTAAGGGACCTAACTTTCACTCAGGTGATAATTCAAGGACTAAATTGGTAATTCACCCTAATTGTATATATTATATAAAGACAAAAATGGAGCTCTTGTGTATATTTGCTTTGTTGGTAGTGAGTTTTACCTTTTTTTTTTTACCAAAAAAGAAAAGAAAAAAAAGGATATAGTAGTGAGAGTGTTGACGACAACGGTGGTGATGATGGTGGTTGTGGTGTCAATGGTGGTAGTGTTGGTGATGGATGTAGTGGCAATAGTAGGGTTTTATGGTGGTGGTGCCAGGAAGGGGCTATGGCAGTTGAGATGCGAAGTAACAATGGTAGTAGAGGCGACGACAACAATAATGATAAGGGTTATGGTGGTGATGGCACCAATGATGGTGATAGCGGTCATGGCTATGGTGGTGACGGCAATTGTCGTGACGGTTGTAGTGGTGCAATAATGGTAGTGGTACTGACAGTTACGGTGTAAAGTTGGTGTTTCTAGCGGCAAATGGGATAAAATGTGTGTTGAAGGATAAATAATGTCATTTTACAAACTAATGGTGGCTTTACAATAATTGAAAATTGATTAAAGGCTCTATTTGCTTTTTATAAAACCAATTTTTAAATGCAACCTGCAAGTTACTTTTAAAAGTTGTTTTCTAGAGGTTATTGCTTTTAAAGGGTAGAACTTTTGAAGGAAAAAAAAAAAAAAGCAATATCAAACGAGGATGATGAAATTTCTAATTGAGAAGAAAAATGAGTATGATATCACTGTATACTTTATGTGGGAGTATGGGACACAAAATTGCTTTAATTCTTAAGTCGCTGCTTAGTGTCATCTAAGCCCCGCCTAGGCGCTAGGTAGTTAATCACCACCACAATTAGTTTCTAAATGTTTCAAAAGTAAGAAATGACCCCTAAACCTACCTAGACGATGCCTAAACCGTCTAGGCACCCGCCTAGGTCACCAGTCTCACTTAGACAAAATATTGATGTGATAAAAGATAACACTCAAATTAAACCTTCTTTTTGACAATTGTAGTATAGATATAAGTATGGATCGTTCTAGGCCGGGGATTATGAGGGATTGCTAATCTAATGAAAATTGACTCAAAGATGTAAAAATATGCTTCAAAACACTTAAACAAACTCAAAAGACTCTTAACTAAACTTGTATGACTCCAAACAAACTTCAAAGACTCAAAACAACTCAAAACAATAAAAAAGACTCAATTTAGACTCTAGGACTCAATTTGGACGAAAATACAATTGGTTTTGACTCAAAAGACTCAAAAACACACTTTTGGACATATTTGAAACAAGTAAGAAAAGGGGATTTGGTTTTGGACGAATTTAAAAGAAAAACAAGTAAATTAAAGACTTAAAACAAATTTTGACGAATTTGGGAAAAACCAATGGATGATTAAATAGCCAAGGGATACTTCTCCACACATGATACATTCAAACATAAATTGATTTCCAATTGCTTTTCCGATCAACCATGAACCTCAACACCCCAGATTAACCGTGATATTACTAATTAACACTTAGATTTCCCTTAAGTTAGTGGATTGGATGACATCATATGACAACCCAAAGCATTCTTCAAAAGTCCCCTACATGACATCATAATAGAGATACAATCAAAGATCATTACGTTCAATGGAAATCATAAGTATTGACAAAGCACTTGTAACTATGATATCATGATACTCATGCTAGGAATTTACTTAACATGATTGTGAAAACAACCTTAACTACTTGTGAATATAAGTTTGTGACGATTATGTGAAACTCCTTTATATTATAGCACCAAATTCAAGCATGCAAATTAAGTAGGCCTCCTTAATCAACATACAAGAATAAGTTATCTATCAAACGGTTAAGTAAATTGCATTTGCAATTTATGAAATCACAACTGGAATTAATCAACTCATATTATAAATGTAATCATGGTTTCAAAGCATCCCCTAGCTAAAACGAGTTTAGCCTCTAATGTTCACAACAAAACAAAGGAAAATAGAATTAAACATTAAAAAAAAAAGATAGATTACACCTAAAAACGTTCCAACACTCCAATTTGAATGCACAAATGTCCAAGGCTTCGTCTTTCTTCTCTTCTTCCTTGCTAAGTCACGGCACAAGAGTCTAGGGTGGTTTTGTGGATGATTTTCTGGGTTGTGAATGGATTTAGGAGGGTAGGGTGGGGCCGCAAGGGTTAAGGATGGTGTATGGAGGCTTGGGTGAAGGTATGGAAGTAGGAGAATGGTGGAAGGTTTGATGGAAGGCTGCGGCAAGGATGTGTTTCTGTGTGAATGAGGGAAGATTGTATGGAAGGGTGATTAGGGTGAATGAAAGGTGCGGCTTGGGTATTTATTTGGGAGCAAGAATCCCTAGAGTTTATTACATAGTTTAGGAAAGGATTAGACCCCAAATCCATCAGGAAAAGGAGTCATAAAGTCAGAAATAAAAAGGGAAAAGGAAAGGTAATTTACAGCAAAGGATAGGAAAAAGGGAATGTGCTTTATTTCTGAAATTAGGCAAGGATTTTGGAATAGAAAAGGTATGTGAGATGTGGCTGAGTTTGAGGTGAAAAAGGAATGTGTTTTAATGACTTAAAATAGGACATAATGGCCTCCCTTGCACGGCAAGGAAGGGAGACACTAAGGAAGGCCACGGCAAGGAATTTAGGTTGCAAGGGAGCTTTATTTTGTGTCCTAAAATACATAAGGTGCCTTCAAACTTG